CTGTCTCCCAAGTTCTGGGGTTAAAGGCATACACCACCACACCCTGGCTGTGTCCACCTTTTTCTGTGACGTAGGTGATTAAAACTCAGGTCCTCATGCCTGCACAGCAAGCACTTTGCTGACTGAACCATCCTCCTCCTAGCTCTATCTTCTATTTTTTGAACTGAAAATTGCAGCTTCAAAATTATTTTATGTGTGTGCATGTTTGCCTGCATGTGTGTATGTGTGCATATATACGTGTACCGCACGCACACCTGGGATCCACAGGCGTCAGAAGCGGCCACAGATCTGGGGCTGGAGTTGTGGATGGTTGTGAGTCACCATGTGGGTGCTGGGAACCAAACCCAGGTCCTCTGGATGAGCAGCCGGTGCTCTTAACTACTGAGCCACCTCTGCTGTCCCAAGTTAAACTTTTTGTACTTCAGCTCCCTGTTTTAACAAGTGAAAGAGCCAGGGAGATGGGAAGTGAGACGGGGGGCTGTTGTTTAGTGGGAACACAGCATGTTTGAGTTCCAGAAGTGAAGGGTGGCGATGGCTGCGCAACATCGAGAGGCATTTCCCATCCCCCAACTCCGCACGTGCAATAGTAAGGACGCTGATTCACATTACACCCATTGCAAAGTGGCGGGAATAAACGAAAGCAGAGGCTAGTCCAGCTTCCCAAGACTCTGTTGAAGATGTTATTTTTACCCCAACTTATCCCCTTTTCAAGTGTCTTGGTTTGGCACTTTCAGAGCCCTTCTCCACAACGCTTAGGGAACTTATTAGCTCCCTAAGCTATGTAGCTGGCAGCTGGCAGCTGAAAGAGGCCAGAGGGGGCAGTGGCTGGGGTGGGGGGGGGAGTCTTTTTGGAATCACAACTTCTCACTCTGATGGACTGACCTCTGCTAAGAGGGCTATGGAGCTTTATTCAAGAAATTAAAATGCTTGTAATTAATTAGGCTTGACGTAAGAGCTGGGCTGAGAATTCTGATCCTTGGAGATAAAGGCCCAAGTCTGCAAATTGGTTCAGACTTTTCAGCCCCGTTGAGTGATTCAGGCAGGGGACAATGTGGGGTCGAGCAGCTGTGAAAACCCAGGAATGACCTCCCCAGCTTTTCAGGGGTGATATGGATGTGGGGACCTCCTGGCATGGACTGAGAGTCCTAAGGGAATTTAGCCTTTGTCAGAAAGAATGCCGATTTCTTAGAGACAGGCCCTGGCTAGGGGCAGGTGCTGCCCCCTGGGTACTTGGGCCCTGGCTCTAGCCTGGAGTGTCACTTGTAGACATGGGGGTGGTCATGGGACTGAAGAGGCTGGCAGGCAGCCATGTGGCTCTAAGCCTAGAAATGGCCATCATCAGTCTAAACTGTGGAGAGGGGGAGAGAGAGAGAGAGAGAGAGAGAGAGAGAGAGAGAGAGAGAGAGAGAGAGAGAGAGAGAGAGAGAGAGAGAGAGAGAGAGAGAGAGAGAGAGGAGCTGTTCTCAAGAGACCCTAGTGTTTCATTTTTATCCTCATTTGGCTTTTCTTTTGCATGTAAATTTCTTTCACTCATAATGTCCCCTTCACTCCCTCTCCCAGGAGTGCAAGGAAAAGCTGAACTACAAGGCATTCATTTTTAAAACAGCTCCCCACGTGGTGTGGTGACAGATGGAGAGATGGCCAGGCTGAGAGGGGAATGCAGGGACCTTGTGCCAGTCTTGCTGTGGCTGGTAGTATGGCCTGCAGTGGTGTGTGTGTGTGTGTGTGTGTGTGTGTGTGTGTGTGTGTGTGTGTGTGTGTGTCAGGGGAAGGAAAGGCTATGAACAGCAGTGCCGACAGTCTCCCTTAATGTAAGTGGCCAGTTAAATCCAAGGATTCAGTGGGCTTCACTCTCCTCTTAAACTGCTTTCTCTGACAGCCTTAAAGTACTGTGGCAAGACAAATATACGCTTGGATAGGACGCATCTGGTGCAAAGGCCCCAGGAAACTGTCTCTTAAAGGAACACAGTCCCTGGTTGAGAGAAGGGAGAAGATGTTTTGGTGACATCGTTCTCCTGGAGGCAGATGAGTCTGTTCACAGTGTGCTCCAGGGTGAACATGCTTCTGTCAGTCAGCAAGGCAGGACTTCACTTTTGGAGACCAGGCATGGAGCAAGCACATGGGTGAACAGGGCCAGGTTTCAGGGTCCCAGTAACAGAGGCTCAGTATAAACTAGAGGGGGCTGCTGTTCAGGTCACTGAAGAACACAATACACTCCCAAAAGACAAGGAAGGTTGGGCCTGGGAGACTTTGGAATGGGTCCCACACCTTAGCACCAAGAAGCCTTTGGAGGAGGCACAGCCATGTGGATTTCAGCTGGTCTTCAACACACTCTACCAGTCATTTTCTTCTACTGTCTCTGCTGCAATAAAGTTCCATTCTCATATTCTCCACGCTTAGCAGCTTGAGGTCCAAGATCCTATTTGCTCTTTGTATCTGGAAAGAGGCTGTTGTTAAGATTCAAGATGACAATGTTACTGAGATTGAGCACATGTTCTTCCAGAGGTTGTTTGCGTGACAACTCAGAGATAGCAGCCACAGACACACCAACATGCCGAGACACCCTGCTACACACACCAGCACATCCCATGCCACCACCGCGCCCCCGCCACCAGGCCCACCAGACACCAGACCTTCCTTCCACCTGTCATAGAGGTTTGAACTTTGGACTGCTGGCCTGTAGAGAACTCGCTTGTAAACCATGAAGCAGGATAATGTAGAAGTAATCATACATACACCAGGATTGGTTCCTATGATGTCTTTAATGGAAAATAGCAGATCCCTTAGGTAAATTTTATCTCACTAACTTTAAGCTTTACACATTGACTTAAAAAACGGAAACCAACTTTATAAACAGGCAGATGTAAAGGTGTGGAGTATATACTTATGTAGAGATATGATATTACTTGATCATATCTGAATTAACTTTAAGAAAGAAAAACAGGAAAATTTGCTTTGACTCCTTCTGTAGAGTAGTGAATGTTATTCACCATTGTAGATGTTTAGTTTTTTCCTTGACTTTCTGATGTTTGTGTTATTATTTGTAATGACCTTATATTATTAGTTATTGATCAATATACGTGAGATAGTGTTACTTATCTGAACATTGACGGTGGTGGATCTATGTGTATTGTGTTAATTTTATTTGAGTGAATGCAGGTGGAAAGCAGGGTCAGGCCTCCCCTGGTTCCTCATCACTAAGAGGTACCTGAGCACAGTGGACAAATATGTTGACGACTTTAAGAACAAGGCTTTGTTTATGAGGACTAGTGATCTGCGTTAGAGAAAAGAGTTTGAGTTTTATGAGCTCAACTCCAAGTGCTAGTTAGGTGACTAGAATGACCTCATGAATACCTGATGTGAGATCTAGTAAATGCTGAAATGCCCAGAGCCTGAGAGGGACTGCAGCTGGGAGTACCAAGAGCTGACTCTAACTCCTGTTCTCAGGCTGTGGTGACTCTCTCTGGGTTTTTAAATTGCTTTCATAATATGGTGGTAGACTTCTTAGGGATTATGACAAATGAGAGTAATAATAATAATAATAAGCTACCTAGGTAGGTGAAAGTTTTAGTGGAAAGGGTTTAGTGGAAAACTTATTGCTGTTGTTATGCTAAATGGACATGTTGCCACAGTGTCTTTTAAATATCTATGTTTGTAGCCATGTTTATAAGATCTGGAGGATGCAAGGGACTCCATGTGGCTGTTGCTGTAGTTTTTCTGTACAAGATTGGGCCTGACACCATTATATCAGGAAGGAGGAGCTATTGTCACTGCTGGGGTAGGGTGGGACTGTCCTTTTCTTCAGTGGTGTAGTCACTGATAGGTAAGTTGCCCAAGCTCCACTAAATAACCCCATACTCATGCTCGTCCGAGGAACCCTAATTAAACTCAGTGGGTATTTAAGGATAGAACAAAAACTGTGAATGTGGGAATGAGGGGCTCAGAGGGACTGGGAGGGGAAAAGAACAATGGAGGGCAGATGTGATAAACATACATTATGTACACATGTGAAATTGTCAAAATACATTTAGAAATTATTTTGCATTAAAGGAAATCTGAAATTTTTAATCTATTGCTAGGGATGGGACACAGATCCCATCTAAATGGCATTCTAAAATGTCTTCTGGAGAAAGACATTTCAAGCTACCCTGAAAGTCTAAATGGCAAGGTAAGCTAGCTTATACTTGCTCTGATTCTCCAGGGTTTGTGAGTTTGTAGGGGCCATGTTTCTAGAATTAGAGACTAGGTAATGGATGTTCAAGATGGCAGGGTGCTGTTCCAACTCCCATACACGTGCAAACCTGGGGCGTGGGAAAGGTCTGGCATGCGCTCCTGCCTCCCTGTCTCTGGACCAAGGCTCCAGGAGAAAGGCTGTTATTTGGGGGCTCTTCCCTTGGGAGCTGTAGCCACTGGCCCTGGGAGTGGGCAAAGGAATGCCTTTGAGTTAATCCTTTCTTGCTTAACCAGGTGCACATGGTAACTAGGAGCCAGGTCACCCAGAAAAGCCACAGAGCACTGACGGACTAGAGCCCAGAAGGTCAAGATGAAAAAGGGACAGGGGAAGAGGAATGAAAAGAGAGAAAACTACAAGGAGAAAAACAACAAAACAAAACAAAATCACCCAGTGGCTTATCCTTCAGGGCGAACCAAATATCAATTATGACTATTTTCTATGAAAGAAAACAAACATGTTCTGTGTTTCAAATAATAAAGTTGGATGTTTTCTACATAAAGCCAAAGCTTCCCATGAAGGAAATATTAAGCAAGCACTCAAGAGAAGCACAGGGTTTTGTTTTTAAAAAGATACCAAAGTAGAGTTTCCTATCCAAACAGAGGTGAATTTAGTTTTTGTTTTGCTTTGCTTTAGCTTGGATGGGACACCCTGCAGCTCCCCTGACATTACAGAAGCATGATGCACCCTGGACTCTAGCAAGGCCACTGTTAGAAAACACTGGAAAAGGCAATCATTGTAGGAAATAGGACAACATAGCTGCTTCTACCTCCATACTAGTATTAGGGTCAAGATCATCGCACTCTGACTCCTCGGAACTGTTCGTCTCCTTGGTTGGCAGCATGAAGAAGGGGGAAGAAAGAGAACACAGTTAGAACACCGTTGTTTGGCCAGAGAGAGGAGAATATCAGAGAGGCATGGGCATGGGAAACGGGCCAGAGAAACAACCGGGGACTTTTCAGGTGCAGTGTGGGTTGTCATGGCAGCAGCATGCTTTTGCAGGGACTGTGGACACCTGCTTGTCACGCCAGGAGGAGCAACGCAGTGACAGAATGGAGCATGAGTGCTGGAATTAAACTTTCCTCCTCAACAAGGCTGGGCTTCCCAATTTCTTTTCCCCAAAAGGGTGGTGGTGAATAGGTTTTGGTAGCTCTTTGCTTGGGAAGGCAAAACACCTATGAAATAGTGCGTGGTTTCATTGTCCCCAGGCAAAGCATTTCAGAGGGGTCACCTTAAACAAGGGAGATCACATCCACATTTCCAGATGGGAGAAACCATGGATCTGCCAAGCTCATGGTTGCTGAGGTCAAAGTGACAGATAACTTCAAAAAGAACCAGGGCTTCCCCAGTGTGCCTCCCAAGTCTTTCCACACACAGTGGGAATGTAAGGAAATTGCTTAGAAGTGATGCTGTGAACTCTGGGGAAAAGAAACGAAACTTTACGAAGGACAGAATGGCCTTGAAGTGCCAAGCCTCTGCCTTCACAAGATCAGGGGCTTGGAGGGTAACCCTGTAACCTGAATGTGTTCCCAAACCTGGGCTACTGAGAGGGTAGCTTTGAGAAGTTTAGTATGAAATCAAACATCTTGCATTTCAAAGAAAAGAATGCTGCAGATCATCTTGTGGTAAAACATCTGCTTAATCACAAAAGAAAAGGAAATGAGAGGCACTTACTTGAATTGACGGTGCCAGGAAAAATAAAAAACAAAAAACAAATTGATCTTGCATGCAAAATCCTGATACACTACTCCCGCTCTGGTCCCCACACTGGGCAGTCGATAAGTAAGTACCCGATCCCACCCACCCAAACTGCCTATGAGAATGCCTCAGGGTGGGGACAGATGAGGACCCGGTTCCGGAATACCTACTCACTTTAACAGAGACTTTGTTGCCCAGAATATCCTTGGGTTTACGAGGCCCTGTGGCTTCATTTTTACCCGTGTTCTCCACTTCTGCCCGCTTTCTCATGCGTAGAGTATGCCATGAACATGACTTCCTGTTATACCAAAAAATGCACCAATCAAAATGGCAGGATGGGGCAGAGTGAGGTGGTGGGCGGGCTCATCACCATTGTATATCAGGTGAGATGCTCCTGTGAAGGCCCTGCCAGCTTCAGGGCCCCGAACCTTCTGTGCCAGTTCCTGCGGTGGCTGGGGCTGACATCACCTCCACCTGGCAGTGAGGATGAACCGACCCTTCCTGAAAGGGTATACCTGGTAACACAGGCACTGAGTCACCAAACCCAGGGAGATTTTTGATCATCAGATGAAGCCTTCAAGGATTGGGGTTGTGTTTTGACAAGGGCATAGTGGACAGGGAAGGATGGAATGGTATAGAAAGGAAGGATAAAGGAAATATGTTTCATTGTGTACATTAAGCCATAATACCTCATATATAAATAAGATCCAACAGAATGACTTTGAGGTTCCCATTTTTTTCTTTGTATCTGGGGCATGGCACTCGCAAGCCCTGGGGAACCGCCAGGGTTTCTGAGCAAGTTGCCTTAGTAAGTGGAGGCATACCCTCATGTATCTGGATGCTTCAGGGCAAGGTTTCCATCTGTGTTCTCCACATTACTCAGTGTTTGTGCCTACAGGGCTCTGCCTACACTGAAAGGTGCCAAGTTTCCCTGTTGGAACAAGGCCCAGTGACAATGCTCTTTCACACCATCCTGGTTTCCACTCCACTTGGGGTCTGGACAGGCACTGCTTCCCAGCTGTAGAAGACAGGCCCAGAGCAGAGCCCTGGAGTCCCACATCTGTCAGAGTCACGGGCAACCCAGACACAGCAGCATCAGAGACCCAAGCAGTGGCTGCATTTCATGTCAAGGGGTTTGCATGGAATTAGTTCTTACATGGAATGAGGCCTGTGCTCCCCTTTCTGTGTTTCCTGGTTAAATGTGGGGCTCTGCAGCTTGAGGAAGAGAACCTTCACGAAGGGAGAGGCAGGTGAGGTTTAGGAGGAAAATACTTCAAACTACAATAGCCAGCCCCTCCTCCACAGCACTCCAGAGCCACCAGGACTCCAATGTGGTGTTCTAGAAACATTTGTCATCTAACACACAGCCTCAACATTTAACCTGAAGAGGAAAATGCAGCCACAATTGTGTTCTTGCATGTTGTGGTGTGTGTGTGTGTGTGTGTGTGTGTGTGTGTGTGTGTGTTGGGGGGTCCTTCTGAAGGTCAGAGCACCTGGCTCCAACTCCTCTACCCCAGTGAGAATGAGACATGGAAGATGACCGACCCTAGAGGATATCACCCTTGAATGCAGACTTTCGTCTCTTGTCTTTTATTCCCCAAATCCGTGTCCCTGACTCCCCTGGGAATATCAGGGAGTCAGGGAGGTCCCTGCTAAAAAGAATTCCAGGGCGGAAGGTATAGTGCGTGCGTTTGCGAGCATGTAGGGTTTACGCCTGTTTATTGCCACCCTCTGGGCTCCTCGGTGTGCTTGGTGAGAAATGAGAAACGTTAAAAATAGTGTACAGAGGGGCACAAGTGGCAGGGGAGGTTCAATTTCAAATTCTCCTTCCCAGAAGAACACGTCACCATGGTTTGGGGAGCTTCCATCTCTTGGCCACAAGCCCAGTGACTGATGTGGACATAGTTTCTGTGACATTTGTCCTGTAGGCATCGTCACCACTTCTGATCCCTGGGGTCATGCAGGCCCAGGGAAGAAGGAGTAGGTGGTGTTTGCTGATAAATACGAATACCACATTCAGTCAGCTGCCCACCTCCAGTGCCACCAATCCCTGTGAAACTCTGGCAAGGAACCCAAGCAACTAGTGGGTGCATCTATCTGTTCTCTCAGCCCTAAGGGTGAGGAGGAAGGTGGGCTCAGTGCCTGGGTAACAGAGCCACCTCTGTGAGACTCTGCTACATCAGGACTCTGTGGCCTTTCTCTCCAAGGTTTCTGAAATATTCATCTTTAGACTAAAACACACTGGGCTGATTTCACTATGGGGCCACTTCTGATTTCTGTGGTCACCTGGAGAGGCCACGTGACATCAGTAGCTTCTATTCCCTGAGACAGAAGGGCTAAAGCAGAGCGGTTTTGCTGGTGTCACTGCTCTGTCACCTCATGGTAGTTCTTGGGCCCTCCCATGGGTAAGCATGAAGCATGGAGATCTGTGAGAAAGGCAGGCTAACACCACCCTATGCTAGTCACCCATAGACATCAGCTCCTTAAGGTCACCCTGCTGCTGGGAACCCTCGGGATTGCATCAACTCTGCACCATTCCCCTTCCTTGAAGTCAGAGAGGATCCAGAGGGGGTGTTTAGAGGAAAGGGCAGGGTCCAAGAGTTAACAACAAAGGCTCTTTTCATATAGGAAAAAACTGCCAACGCAGTCAACCAACCCATAAAATATAGAAAAGAAAGGAAAAAAATCATTTTCACACTCAAAAGTCTGCGAATAATGAGATGGGGAAAAAGGGTCAACTAGTCTTTAACCTCATTAAAACATGCTCATGGTGAAAATTTATTTTACATATTTAAAATAGTACATTTAAAATTATTAGTTACATTACAGGTACAATGATGAACATTGTGGCTCCTCATTATATTGCACAACCTGACTTCATCCATATGGGTTTCTTTAAATAGTGCAAAATGCTTTATACAGGAATGTGTTCAGAAGGGTTTTTGCAATCAAAATAAGGAAAAGAAATATCTTACAAATTACCATGAACATATATTAAAGTGACAGGGGAGGAGAGAAATAAAAATAAAAAGTTACAACCTGTACAGAGAAATTGCCATGGACAACCAAAAAAAAAAATCCCCTCTCTTTTGGGAGAAGCAGCAGGCTCTGGCCTGTCTAGGCCTGGCATTTGTGCTAAGGTCATTTTTGGGTGTCAATCAAAAAATATATATATATATCAGTAACTTCATACAATATAAATAGAAGTCCAGTCCAGTGAGTCCCGTGGTGGGTCAAATGTAGCAACGGAAGGCATGTCTTTTGTCACCTAGGGTTTCAGTAGGGTTCTTAACGAGTTGCGGGGGAAGAAGAAGGGGAAAAATGAACAGAAAATTATAAACGAAAGGGAAAGAAAATTCACCATCACCACCATCACCACCACCACCGTGACCCCAGAGCAATCTGGCCTAGACACCCGAGCTACAAGCAGGTCCATTCATTACTTACACCCTGACCCCACAGTGATTTCCTAGGGTGTTTGCATTTTGTGTTCTTTTAGTTTTGATTTTTTTTTTTTAAATCCACATACTTCTCTCCAGGGAAGCCACGGAGGCACTTACTTGATGCTCCCGTCACTACTTTCTGCCGCTGCTGTGGCTTTGGTGAGGGGTGCCAGGATGCTGCCTGGGACCCAGCCTTCTGCTGCTGGGGAATGATCGCTGGCAGGCTGGTATACCAGGCACATGTTCTGCTGGTTGACGGCGAGGACCTGGACCACCTCACCTTGGCTCACACATATTTCGTTCTCTTTCAGTGCATAGTAATCTTTGATTACAGCCATGGATGAGGTCCCATTGCAGCCTCCCAGGTCGTTCTGCTAGGAGACAGGGGCAGAAGGCACAAACACAAGGGAGATGCTTCACTCGGGCTTGCTCTGCACCCTATGGCACAGCTATAGGCCAGACGGCCCACTGGCAGGATAAAGGGCAAGCAGAACAGCGCTGGGTGAGGACGTTTCCATAAGCACGCTCTGAAAGCATATTTTATAGCAATACAGTATTATAACCAGAGGGAACAGCTTCGGATGATGCCTGGAGAAAGCTTCGGACACACATTCAACCTGGAAGCTCCTGCCTAGTATGCAGCCTTCCTGATGGCATCCTCTTACTGATGGCAGGTAGAACCTGTTATCAGCACAGGGACATGTACAGCACTTGGGCAGAGTGAGGTCAGGGCAAAGGTCAGGTCAGGGGTCACAACCCTCCTCTATGGAAAGAATACAGACCTTGTGATCCTACATTTCCCCCCTCCTTTTGAGACCTCACTTGACAGGTAATCCGGGACCTTCAAGTCATGCATGATCCTTGCACCTCAGCCTCTCCAAGTGCTGGAATCACAGGCATGCACTACCATGCCCAGGTCACTTATCTACCCTTTCAGGAAGCACTTGCCTGTGCCCCTCATCCTGACCCTCTCTGACATGTCCAATGCAAAGGAAAGGCCCTGGGCTACCCTGTGAAACAGAAACCTGACATCTCCCCACCACGGTACTTATTAATACAGGAGGTGCTGCCCATGTGACCTCTTCATGCGAGTCTCTACCAGGGCAGCTGTGTCTACACAGACCTGTAACTCCCCGGGAGGTCAGGCTGCCTCCTAGGGCATGATGAGAGCCAGAAAATCTTCCATATGGCTGACAAAATGCCAAAGTGACTTCAACTGATTTACACGGGCAGGGTTTTTCTAGGGCAGAAAATTATTTCAGGTGATGAAATAGGTGGGGTCGGTCACTGCAGGATAGGGCTGAACTTATACATCAACCATTCATCTGAATGAAATGGGCATCAACCAAGGATCTGGGAAAGAACTACACCTATAATACCAGGGCCACGGAAGGAAGGAATGCAGGTGTTCCGATTCCTAGACCTAAGGAGTTCTGGAGAATTCCTTCAGGTTTAAAAGTAAGTGAGATTCAAAGCTTGTAGTAGAGACCAAAGCACCTGACTTATAACCCAGTATTTCCCCATTTCTGTCCTATTCCCACCGTGGTTTAGGATGAAGCCAGCTGTGCGGGACTAGGCCTGTGGTACAATGCCCCTCGGTGCTGTCTGAAGTATGGTTAGAGCCTAGCTTCTGCAGGTGCACACGAGTGATCAGCTTCCTCTCACCACATCAGCTAGTGGAGGGTGAACTTCCCTCTGTAGGTATGGATGATGAGGGTGAACTTCCCTCTGTAGGTACGGATGGTGTAGGTGAGCTTCTCTCTGTAGGTGCTGGTGCACACCATTGTTGGATGGGGCTGTCTCTTTCTTTTTTTCTTTTGATTTTTCGAGACAGAGTTTCTCTGTATTGTTTTGGAGGCTGTCCTGGAACTCTCTCTGTAGACCAGGCTGGCCTCAAACTCACAGAGATCCACCTGCCTCTGCCTCCCAAGTGCTGGGATTAAAGGCACCAACACCAGTGCACCACCAATGCCCAGTTGGGGCTGTCTCTTTCTAATATGGAAACAGGAGCTGTGGTTCCTGTTACCACAAGAACCCTCCACATTCAGTTGTCAACAGTCCTTTAACACACAGTGCCTCAGCCAGAGGACACTGGTTTCAGTTCATTACAAGGGAAGAAAGAAAATAAGTGAGGTTCGATTATACTTAATGAATTGCTCCTGCTAAAATAATCGACAGGAAAAGACGCTGGTGCCAAAAGTGACCTCTGAGATCTTTGAAGTGGCTGAGGGTATGAGTAACAAGCTGTCACTTACCTTGCTAGCTTCAAACTTGTCCCCAGGCTGGTGGTAGTCGAACCCTGGACTGCCATTGGAGGTAGATATCTTCAGGGGTGGCAGAGGCGGGTTGTAGCTGGAGCCCTTGGGGGGCTTCTCTGAGCCCACAGGGACAGAAGAGTAGGGTCTGGGGCTGGCTTGTGGAACCCTAGGGGGCTGGGAGCGAACCACAGCTGTGTTCCTTTCCTTCCGCTGGTACTCAATGGGTGACTGTAGTGCTGCAGGGGAAGAATCAGAATCAGTCACTCTACCTTCAGGCATCCCACCAGGATGCAGAGGCCTGTTAGGTACAGCATTTATGCCAAAGTGTGTGTGTGTGTGTGTGTGTGTGTGTGTGTGTGTGTGTGCGCGCGCGTGTGTGCGTGCTTAAAGAGCTTCAGAAGGGGACTGGATGCCACTCTGACATTTACATCTGCTAGAAGGAAGCCCGTGTGAAGCATTGGGAATACACAGCACGCAGAGTACCTGAGTAGGGTCACAGATCTCTGTGGAATAGGAGGAGATAAAACAGGAAAGGGAGATGGGGTACATGGTATCTAGAACGTTCAGGAAAGCTACACTGTCACTCTGAAGAAGATGAAAAGTGGCTGTATTAAATAAACTTAAAAGTTTTAAATTCAGATCCCATCACTGAGGGGCACTTGAGAAACACGAACCTCGCAGCAGTTAGCAAACAGACTTGAAAGAGTACGCCAAAGGCTTCCCATCTCATTCCAAAGCCATTTTAAGGTCAAACAAGAGCTAAGCGAATGTGGAGGGAGGAGACAGCCTCGATGGGAAATGCACTGGAGAATGGAAATAGCAGGCGAGAGACGAAGCGAATGGCAGTGGGGGCAACTCAGAGGATGGAGAATGACTGCTGGGAGGAAAACTATGAGGTCTGCTTTGCTTTACTGAGTGTAAGAGTCAGAGTTCCAGGTCTAAGCATTAAAGAGGTACAGCCAGGAACATGTACCGTGGGAGCCGTGTACGAAGGACTTCCAGGGCAGGCACAATAAGGGCATTTTTATTGGTGTTTACTACGACAACTATTTAAGTGGATTACCAGCTGTGGCCCAGTACACAGACATGGGTGCAGCAAGCATTTCAGTGGACTGGATTTTCCAATCAGGTCTCAGGAGGGAAGATCGGCTGAGATGGCCTGCTCACGTGTCTGTAAGCAGAAGCTGGTCCTGTTCTGTTTCGAGTGTATCAGAATTTAGAGCAGGCTTGCCAGAGCACAACCCCTGAGGCTCCTGGGGAGAACTGTGTGGGTATTAACTATTTAGGTAACAATTACCTGGTTCAGTGATATCGCCATCAGTCACTATAATTAGGAGAAAGGTCTATTGGGACCGTGTGAAATCTGAATCATTGACTGGGCCTAAAGTGATGTGATTCCAAGTTTAAGCACATCGCAGAACACCTAAGTTCTTCCTTTTAAGTAGGCTACACGGAGTTGAGAACTCTACCCATGACACGGAACTGGGGTGCTAACTGGTTATGAGCAGCAATTACTCTCAAGCACTGGAAAATACTGTCTCATTCAATACACTATGAAGGCGAGGCCTGCATTCTTTCACTAGCCTTAATTGGAATAACTAGGCCTTGGTATCAGGAAGACCCTCAGTCAGTCCTGTCTCAGCCTTCCGATTCCATGCCAAGCTCAGAATGTGGGCATTACTAACAGTGAGTTTTTGTCTTTTGGATTCAGGTTCTAACTACTGGTCACCTGCCTGAATGCCCCTCTCCCATGCCCTCTCCCCTCCCCGCTCCCTCCCTCCCTTCTTTGCTAGGGAGCACAGGGTGCTGACAACTGTATGAAGAGCCAGTTCTGAGGTCACTGCTCACACCTACTGCTTCTGCCTAGACAAGTTTCCTTATCAAAGCAGGGTGATAATCCAGCCAAGTCGTGTTGGCGTGGGGATTAAGGGCGAAGAAACAGACAAAATGCTTCTTTTAACTCCCAATGCAGAGAGGGAGTGAACACATGGGAGACACTATTGTTAATTTATTTCTGGTTTCAGCTTATTATTTTTTAATTTTACTTTAGTTCTGAACGGATGAGCTTAAAGCCCTCATTTCCACTCCCATACCAGACATCCTTCTCAGAATTCGATCTCAGTGAATCTATTTTACGTATGCACATATCTTATATTTAATCACACTAGCAACAAGCTGTGTTCATTCAAAGTTGCATATTCAGAAATTGTAAAGGATAGGGATTTCAATTCTAACCCGTGTTGTTTAATTGTTAGTGTTTTAGAATAAAAAAGCAGCTTGGGAGTTCTAAGTGTTTCTCACCTTTTTCAGTTTGGGATATGGCCCCTAAACACCATCTGTGAACTTGAAACAGCCTTTAAAAGTCATGGGATCTTGAGTCGGGCTGTGATGGTGTACACCTTTAACCCCAGCACTCGGGAGGCAGAGGCAGGTGGATCTTTGAGGCCAGCCTGGTCTATAGAGTGAGTTCCAGGACAGCCAGAGCTACACAGAGAAACCCTGCCTTGAAAAATAAAAGTCACAGGATCCTATTCGTAGCCTTCTTTGGTTTAATACCAGGGAAACTTTTTTTTAAGGTAGTGGGGCTTGAACTCAAGATCCCACAAGTGTATGCTAGATAAGTACTCAGCCACTGAGCTGTGTCCCAGCCACAGCCTTTGTTTTAAGATGAAAACATTCCTTACCATGGAGAAAAGTGACAGACGAGGATGGTGGGCCTGTCCTGCAGTAGTTGTAGTAGAAGTGGCCTGCCCTGTGGCAGGTGTAGTGTAGGCAGACCATGCTGTACTATGGCAGGTGTAGTGGAAATGGCCTGTCCTGTAGCAAGCAGGTGTAGTGTAGGTAGGCCTTGTTGTCTTGTGGTAGCTATAGTGTGGGTAGGCCATGTAGTCCTATGGCAGGTGTAGTGCAGGTAGGCCATGCTGTCCCTATAACAAGTGTAGTGCAGGCAGGCCATGCTCTCCATGCTGTCCCTATAACAAGTGTAGTGCAGGCAGGCCATGCAGTCCTATGGCAGGAGTAGTGTGGGCAGGCCGTGCTGTCCTACGGCAGGTGTAGTGTAGGCAGGGCATGCTTCCTGTGGCAGTACTGCTTGCCCAACCGTACTTTCTAGCACCAGCAGAACACATCTAGCTCCAAAGTTTCTTTTTCATAAAACGAGCTGAATGAGGCACAGAGAAGCACACATCTCACCCAAGATCCTGAGCTGGGATGGCACCTCTTTCCTTTCCCCATAGCATTCCATGCTAGGCACCCAGTAAATGCTGTGTTCTCATCACCTGAAAGAGTCTAGCAATTGCAGTAGCAAGGAGACAGACCAAGGGTGGGCCTACAGGGGAAGGGGTATAAGTGCAAGTACACACAGCCTTGTGTACATCTCAATAGAGGTAAGAAGTGCACCTCAAGGTGGTCCAGCGTTATGTGCACACACGTTTGAGTGTATACAGGAGCAAACAGGGCATATACCACAATCCTTGGCACTGTACAAGTAAGAAGAGATGGGGCACCTGGAGAATCTTGTGGGCATGGACAGACGTGTATGTACGGGGACATGTGGCTGTGTGTGCAGAGATCAGTTCAGACAAGAAGAGGTGGTACACCTCAAAGTGATGCCCCATGTGTCTATGTATGTATGCTTGCATGTTTGCATCTATACAGGTATGTGCACTTGAGACTATTTATTCACTGTGTTATTGGTTCCATTTTGCCTTCAACTGCAGGCTCCAGCTCAGTAGAGCAGCACTACCTTCCAGCCATCCATTTCCACTCAGACACCAAGCTGAAGGGACAGCTACCAGTAGGGACAAAAGTGAAACACAAACAAGATAGCAATTCTACTTCATTGTGTGTGTGTGTGTGTGTGTGTGTGTGTGTGTGTGTGTTTCAAGATAGGGTTTCTCTGTCTTGAAACTCGTCTTGGCTATCCTGAAACTCTCTCTATAGACCAGGCTGGCCTCAAACTCACAGATACCTGCCTGCCTGTGCCTCCCAAGTGCTAGGATTCAAAGTATGAGCCACCCCTCTTGCAGACGCCTGTAGGGTATACATTATCTAAGGAACCACCCCTTTGTTACTGGTGGGAAGTTTGGATACTACTGAATTAGGCTTAGCAATTTTCGTATCTGAAAGGGGCAAGGTCAGCTAGATGGTAGATTAGCCAGGCTCTTACCTACTGAGAAAAGAGGAAGGATTTGAACTGTGTTACCAGACTCCTAGTTATCTCTAGATAATCCTAGAAAGCCTGAGAGAGTACCAGCCACCATCTACAAGGTGAGAGAACAAGAATCACAGAACTTAGGCTTCTAGAATATAAGATGTGCTTGCCTGTCTTATCCACATTATTACCAGTTGACCATGGGGACCACAAAGACACAAATACACAATACACAATATCCTATGGACAAGTACCCCTTTGATTAAAATCATGGGGCTTCTTTCTCACACCCGTCTGTTCAATTTATTCCTTCAAGCTAATAGGCTCCTGGAGTTATCTCTGACCAGATAGAATGTGATCTGGCCTCCCAAGTCTCCATGAACTTAGACCCAAAGGTGCTCAGGGTTAGGGTCCCCTGAAGTGGTCTTGCTAGAAGCAGGCCTATCACATACCATTTAAGAAGTCCCTCTGTGTTTCTAGGACTTGATTGATGTCCTGTACCCAGGCCTGCTGGATGTCTGAGTTGGCAGCCTGCAGAATGACCCTCTCCGAAGTCTCCCTGTTCATGAGTGCAAACTTGCAGGGGTCATTGTCAACATTCTCCTCCAGGACCAAGTAATTCATCTGAAACAAAATCAGTGTATCCTTTTCATACTTAAGGAGTTAGAATAAATCAGCAACCCACTACCGTCCTTCAAAGTTGTTCCTTTTTAACTCACACTTTTTTTTCTGCATTTTTATGTATCTGGGTGTTTTGCCTCATGTATATCTGTGCATTGTGTTTGTGCTTGGTGACTATGGAGAACAGAAAAGGGCATCAGAACCCCTGTATCTAGAGTTACAGATGATTGTGAGCCACCATGTGGGGGACTGGGAACTGAACCCAGACCCTCTGGAAGAACAGTCAGTGCTCTTAAGTGCTGAGAAATTTTTCCAGCTTCCCTTAAAGTTTTTTAATATCAGGAAAGGTTTCCAAATTTTACTCAGGATCCAGGAGTAAAGTCTCTAGCTTCTGTCTTAGGGTGAATTACATGACCAAGTATAGTTCAAGATCATGCTGGAGACTGGCCCTGGCCCTGCCATTACTTCTCGTGGTGATCACCAAGTAGCTTAAGCCCCCATGATGTTCATTGCCCCGTATACCCCCACTGTCTCTCTTTACCTTGATGCTCCTTTTGAACATGTAGCCTGGGGTGAGAGACCCCTTTCGAAGTAGTTCACTGAAGATGACGATCTGCTCAAAGAGAAACACACGCCTCTCCTTGGTCCGGGACTGCATGCCAGCATCCAGCTCAATCACATAAAATGTGTCTTGCTGCAGAAGCTTGCCCTGGGCGGTCAGGGTGCCCTGATGGAGACAGGGGTCCAGGGAAGGCCGTGAAAATCAGGGCGATGGATTTAGCAGTCTTGGGCTATAAGTTTCCTATCTCTGGGGGATGTGGTCAATAGACCTGACACTCAAAGTCTTGTAATTCTAGCAAGACACTGAACTGGGTGGGATCCAATTACTCATCTGGGGATAGACTATGAACATTTCCTGTTCATATATATAAGGTTCCTAAAAGGAAAAGGCTTAGGTGATGGAGTCAGCAAGAAATAATGCCCCCAAAATGTCAGAGGAAAACAGCTAAAAAGGAACAAATGATCTTGGTCTTATCTTTTCTCCTTTTTTGAGATAGGATCTCATTGTGTAGCTTTGGCTGACCTGAAACCTGCTAGGTAGACTAGGCTAGTCTTGAGCTCTCAGAGACCCACTTGCCTGTTTCCTGAGTGACGGGATTAAAGGTAGGTACCATCTTGCCTGGTGCTTTTCTGTTTTCTGTTTTTTGTTTGTTTTTAAATGAAAGAAGTTTGGTGATGTTTGCAGCTGGCAGTATACCCTCTTCCCCTGAAGCTTTGAGAAGCTTTCTGCCTGGCTTCTTTGTGGCATGGGCCAAGGGCCTGGGGACACTCTCATTGTTACGAACCTAGAACCAATTTGTGGCCAAGGAAAGTGATATAAACATGATCTCAACCTGACGACTCAGGTCCCTGTCACCTCCTTCTATCACTTAAATATTCTGAAGTTTTTGTTTCTTGATAAGACTAACTGGTAAAGTTGGGGTATATAGATCGGGTTCAATTTTTATAAGGCCAGACAGATTTCTCTGGATCCTGTGATCCTTCTTAAAACGACTCTGGCTATCAAGCTACATACTACCCAGCTGCGGTAGGGACACACACCTGGTTTGCCAGCTTGTAATCAGTGTCCCAGAGACATTTTTAAAGGAAACGTGTCCGTCCAGAACCCATCAGGAAAGCCTCACTATTTATCGTCTATTTATTTAATTTCTCTGCAGTAAGAAGGCTCTGATATCTGGGGATGTCAGAGAACCTATGACATATACTCTTTCTTAGGGACAACTTTTACCCTTTAGTGCAAATGTCCTGCGCGTGATGCCAGACTGCAAGCATTCCCTGGCACGGGAGTCATTTTTCCTTTGTATTGCTGAGAAAACACTCGCCTTTTGCTTAGACCATGGCTCCTGACTGCCAAGGTCAGCAGGAGAACAGGCTTATCTCTACCCTGGTCCAAAGTTAATATTAAGCCAGTGACCAGCTAGCCAGGAAAGCTCTGCACACTCTACTAACATTACACAATTACTCAATCAGGGGCACAGGCAGCCAGCACTACAGGGAAGGGCCACAGGTTTGCAAGGGAGACAATGAGAATGAGGGGCCCCAAGAGAAAGGAGGTATGTGCTCACGGTCCTTCCCAATCAGCTGTGGGAATGCAGAGCAGATTCCCTTTGGCTTAATGATGGAAATACAGAACAATGGTGCTTGCTTTACCAGAGAAAACCTTACATTCCTGTGTGTGGTTTTACAGTGCGCGCATGTACACACACACCACACAGAGTCTCAGGTGGGTCAGCAGAACAAATAGATGCCCTCCTTCCATCACTGGTCACTTCCTGAAGGGACTCAGAGAAAGCCAGCCAGACTGCTATTCAGAAAACACCAGGACGTCTAGGTCGATGAGTAAGAGTAGGTAGCTGAGAACTTGATTTGCTTACAATAGCCTCAGACTTGGTATAACTCCAGGAGAAAAAAAGGAGAAACTCTTTCCGGGCTTACTAATAAAAAACCATCCATGAACTCAAGAGCACAAGCGAGCCAAGTAGCTCAACTTATGCTGACATCTCACTGAGGCCTATCCTAGAGGGCGGGGCCCATGAAAACCTGCCACCTGGTTCCTGTCAACAAAGCACGGGACCCAGGCAGAGGCAGGAAGGATGGACTGGAAGGGAGGCAGCCCAAGAGAGGCTAGAGGGACAACCCAAGCCGGGATGTCTCTTCTCCCACCTTCAGTGACATCACACCTGGCCTTCTTTCTGCACTTTATCTGGGCTAACCTGTGCTAGCTTAGCAGGGCTGGGCTAGGTAGAACATCTTTCTTAATTGTCTCAACTTCCAGAAATCCCTCTGGTCTAAAAAAGAATAATGAGCTCTTAGATTTGGGGTTACTGGGAAATAGAACTTTGAAAGGGGAGATTTGGACACAGACATAATATCCCATCCAGAGGGAACGAGATGAGATTCAGGAAAATGCCACTGGAACCAGAAGATGCCACCAACAAACAAAGGAGTGAGACTGGGGGGCAGACTTCCCCTCACAGTGCTCAGGCCTCAGAACGGTGGGGGCAGACTCTCCCTCATAGTGCTCAGGCCTCAGACTGGTGGAGGGGTCTCTGTGGTTTAAGCCACCCAATATATAGTGCTCTGCTATGGCAGCTCTTCAGACTAGTGTGTCCTCTGGACATCAACTTCCCTTAAGACATGTCACCTTGTCAAGGAACAGAAATGTGTTGTGTGATATCTTAGGGATTTAAAACCACTATGCAGACTTCCATAAAAGACCCAGCCCCAGAAGAAGAGTTCATTACCCGGCTTGAGCTTACATATCCTGCAGTGCCTCAGATCCTCTCATTCCTTAATCAGGAGGAAGGAGGTTGCCACCGTGGTTCAAACAGTCACAAGCAACTTTGTCCCTTTCTAGTCCCCTTGGTGTTCTGACCCCAGTGTAGCCAAAAGCTTTATTTCTGCCTTATCACTGAACTCCTGCAATAGTTCCATCCTCCAGATTTGTGAACTGGAGGGGCAGCCGCGGGGCGGGGCGGGGCGGGGCGGGGCGGTGTCGCCTGGCTTCCACCTGGCTCCTGTCTACAGGGGGCTTAGTGGCACTCTTCAGGGCTCACCTCAAAGCCCTGCAGGCGTCCCAGATTCATCATGTCATTGCAGCGTTTGGGAACAAGGCACATTAACTCCACCGCTTTCTGTGGGAAAGAACACATCACTCAGGATGGGGGGAGAACATTCAGTAGGGAGCTCACAAAATTCAGGGCTGGGAGGAGGAACTTATCTCCCCTAGTCCCTTTGTTTTCAGAGAGGGTGCGGTCCCTGCAGCTCACTGGCAGAGGACTGTGTGAAGTTTTTAGATAGGAGAGGCTGGTATTAGCACAAGGGCCCCATGTCAATAGCGAAATGTTACCCAGCCCATTCTTTTTCTACTTCCCGCTCTTATCGCCCCTCTCCCTAATTTTTTATTTTATTTTTAAAAAATTTTTCTCTGCTACTTTCAGAATGCCCAAGCAACAGCTTAGCCTGGTTGTTGAAACAGGAGGTTCTGACCTAAAATAACCTGTCAGGAATGACTGCAACCTGTTTGGCTTAAAAATAATCCCTATGGCCGCAGAAAGGAAACATTGAGGGGGTAATCCTCAGGGTGTATTGGGGAATGGAAATGGAATAGTCTACGTGTTAGAGTCAAAAGGCATTTGGAGCCAAAGACAAAGTTGCATATTGAATCTGTGCAATTTTACCCAGTGTCAACTATCACTCTTCCCCACTTTACCCAGCAAGAGCCCCAAACATCAGTGGCGGGACTCTGGGCTGGCTCAGGGCGGGACTCTTGAATTCTTATTGACACTCTGGTCAGTAGCACCTGCCATTCCTCATGTTGCTGAGTAAGAGGGGAGTGGCTTGGACCCTGGACTTTCTGACCATCCTTTTCCTTTGGGGACAAGGACAGCAAGCATTACAAGCGGAAACCTACCTCGATATCTGAACACTCCAAACCAGCCTTCTCACTGTATCGCAGGAAGTCCTAGCAAGGAAGAGCATGGGAGGGGTGAATCAGATAGTAAAATAGCCAGAGAGCCATTACAAAAAAAAATCATAAAAATGCAACAATACCCCAAAGACTTTCCTCCCAGTGGAGGTGGCAATGGTCTGTAGTAGCTGAGAAACAAAATGACATGAGTCATGCTAGACATAAAGACACCGAGAAAGACTCCAGAATATGACAAATAAGCCTGGGACAGGAGGGACAAAGTGGGACCATGGCAGGGAGAGAGGAAAGTCGAGTTTTTCTTTCCCACTTAACTTCTTGTTTCCAAGGAAAAAAATCAAGTCAAGTTGTTTAGTATATGATCAGATCTTCGGGACTGTGAAGGACTCCAGGGCCACTCCTTCCCTTTTAGTCCTTTCTTATACTCCTGTTACTTTCAGGGCTTTGTTGCTGTTTGTTTGACACAGGGTCTCACTCCACAGCCCAAGCTGGCTACATACTCATGACCTTCTTGCCTTCGTGTCCCGAATGCTAGGAGTACAGATGAGTGGCAGCGTGCCTGGCTTATGCTTTAGTCTTCAAAGGCAAGCAGGAGAAGGGGCTCAGGGTGGACATACAGTATAGACAGGGCCCTTGGCTCAGTTCCCCAAACGAAAAATGAGAGACAGTGAGAGAGGTGTGGGGAAGAAAATAAATTAGAGAAAGAGAAACAAGTAGCAAGCAACCTTAAGGGCAGAAATGAGAGCCATGCAAGCTATTCAGACACAAGGCTGACAGCAACCAGCAACTTTCCATCCTGAAGGGCAGCGACACACTGCTCCATCCTGGGCCAAGGCTCCCCACTTCTTACCTTGAGTAGCAACTGGTATTTTGTTATTCTCTGAATGGGCTTGATAAGGAAGTCACTAAGGGTCAGCCTTTGATTGATCTCTTGTTTAACCTCCTGAAATACAAAGGTTCAAAGGAGTGAGTGACAAGTCTTCAAGCTCTCCAGAAAAACTTCAGATTCTTCATGCTACAACTGCCTACCCCACTGTTCATGTTATAAGCTAGGTGTTATGGCTCATAACAGCCCCAAAGCCTTGCCTGGTTCCTGAGCTCTCACAGTGGGCACTTCCACACCACGATCCTCACCTTAGTCCTGGGAGAAAACCCGCAACAGGTACTATGCTCTTTCTACCACTCCAGGGTAGAATCAGGTGAGGGTTTCCCCTCAGACACAGGGTGGGCCCTAAACTCTGCTCTCCAAACACTCAGGGTCCTTTCTAAGGGATGGTGTTGTCTCTTCACCAACAGAAGTGATCCCGCCAGGCTGGGGCAGCCACACACTTGGAGGTGCTAGACATAGGGATGATACTAGAAACTAAGGATCTCAAGGCTTAGGGTGCTGTGGATGGACCAAGTTCAATGGTGCGAGGGACCAGTTCTGATGCTAGCCAGAGGCTGAGAGCAACAGCTGAGTACGAAGTCACTGCAAGTCCTTTCACCAGAGAGAAGGCACTTAGCAACAGTCCCGGGGCGGGTGGGGAAGACTGTGGACACAATCTACTCAGCGGTCACGTGAGAAGGACAAGGGCTTCCGTAGATAGTCTGACAGAAGGCTTCTCAACAGTGTGGAGACAGAGCCACCCCAGCTCCTCTTCAAGCAAAGATGCATGTGGGCATGAAGCTAAGAAGCTAATGGCTCTGTGGAGTCAGGTTCCTTGTCACAAAAGCCAGTGGCGGGGGCACTTGTGGATAGAGGATCTGGGGTATGTCTCAATGTTGCTGTCTGGGACTGAGCACCTCACCCATAAGTGATAGCTCACTCACCTCAAAGTAGGCGTCATATTCAGCCACAATGTACTCGGAACGTGGCTTGTTCTGGCAGTACCACACATAGATGTGTAGCTTCCGCTCCTGGTACAGAAGAAAATGTGCCGGTCGGGCACCTGGTTTTCTGCTCGCCCCTCACCCCACCCCCAGAGTCAAGGGCAGTTAAGGACAAGGAATGGGACACATGAAAGGAGGAACAAGGCAGCGGAATGGCCAAATGTGTTAAATAACAAAACCAGAGTAATGACCGAGAGCAAACAGAGCCAAGAGCCGAAGCGAGGAGGAATTTTAAAATGAGTGTGTTGGCACCTGGGGATGGGGGACAGCCAGGGCAACACTCACATGTTTAATGAAGAGCTGAGCCAGTCTGTCTTGCTCTTGGATACATTTTTCCAGTTCAGCCAGGAAAAAACTAAAAGGAGCGAGGAGAAGGAAGTCACACTTCTTGGAGAGACATCTCCTTTCAATGATGAAATAAATGACAGGAGGCTCCCACCAAATACGCTGCACAGGTCAGATGCAGGGACAGATGCAGGGACAGATGCCCCACTCTCAGGGCAGACGCCCCACTCTCAGGGCAGATGCAGGGGCAGATGCCCCACTCTCAGGGCAGATGCAGGGGCAGACGCCCCACTCTCAGGGAGACACGGAACTTACTCTTTATGCCAGTCATAAATCTGGTGGATGTTTCCAAACACGATTTTGTCCTTTCCTCGCATATCCTCAGGGACCCCCTTCTCTTCTATTCTCTTCATGAAGCCCTGCACAACAGAGGTGACATCAGCAGAAGACTTTACAGACAGCGTTCTGGGACAGGCCTCAACCAGGCCTTACTTCCCTCTAAACACATTAAAACCTTCCTTCTTTCCTTCCTGCTTGCCTGCCTTCCCTTCCCCCGTTCCTTTTTTTTTTTTTTTTTTTTTTTTTTTGAGACAGGGTTTCTCTATGTAGCCCTGGCTGTCCTGAAACTCACCCTGTAGACCAGGCTGGCCTTGAACTCAGAAACCCACCTGCCTCTGCCTCCCTAGTGTTGGAATTAAAGGCATGCGCCCCCCCCCCCCTTGCTAACATGAAAATATTTCAAGAAGAAAATGAAAATCTGCCTCCACATTCTGTTTGAATTGTACCATTTTTAATTTCATTTCTGGAAAGTCAAATAAGTACAGTCAGCAGGTTAAAGCACCTGGGCCCAGGTAGGGTCAATCCAATTTGTTCCTGGTCAGGTAAGCACAGATACACCCCACCCTGCCGCTGCTGCTTACCTCCACCACAATCCCCAGGTCCTTGACGTAGTCCTTTTCTGTTTGTACCAGCTCATTCAGGACAAACCTGAGCAAGAGACCAACAGTGAGGTTCCTCTTCATTATTAAGCAAGAAATCTCCACATTTAAGATCACAGGAATGTGACTTCAGCAAATGTTACACAATAGCACTGTAAAGACCCTCATTAGCACACTAGAAAAATGCCTTTAGCACAGCTGGAGACTCACTGGAGAGCTGAGTGCAAGGTTAGAGAGAGCTGTCCCCAGTGCCCATTACATCCCTCCCCTCACCTCCCCTCCTCCCCTCCAAGACAAAGTCTTGTATTTCCCAGGTTGGTCTCAAATTCCCTATATAGCCAAAGACCACCATGAAATCCTGATCCTCCTGCCTCTGCCTCCTGAGTGCCAGGATTAGAGATGTCCACTACCACAGCCAGTTTCCCTCAGTGCTGGGCATTGAACCCAGGACTTTGTTCATGCAAGGCAAGCACTCTGTGAACCAAGCTACAGTCCATCCTGTCTTGCAGAAACAGGGTAGAGATAACTATGACCACCTTTTTTTTTTTTTTTCCAAAACTGAGTTATGAAAGTGTTGAGACCAAGGGATCAACATGAAGCTTTTATTCCTTTATTTCGGCTCCATTCTACAATATATAATCTTCAATTATTCAAGAATGTATCCATGGTAACTGGCCTGGAAAATCTTCATTCAAGGCTAAAGAACCTAGGTTGGCTGCAGATATTAGATGTTCACAGCTTTGAACACAGAATTCCCTACTCCAGGTTATGGGATTGATAATGACAAGGGCATTTGCTTTCTTGGGTTCTTTGTGAATTACTTCTATCTCAGAGTATTTATTACATACCAGTTACCCCATCAGAGTTTTCTCATGCTTATAACAAGGCATGAATTATAAAATCCTATTATTTAAATACTGAGATAGATGGGAAGGTTAGGGGACTTGTCCAAGCCTACAAAGTGAAGAACAGAGGAGGGATCTGAACCTAAGTGTTAAGGGTCCAAAAACTATCCTTTTCTAGTAGCCTAGGGAACAGCCCAGTCAGTCCTCTGGCATCCCTGAAGTCTCCACCCCAAAAGCCACCACTTCCTTTCAGTTCTGGGAGTCAAACACCATACAGTAGACATCACAGTCATGCACAGGCCCCCACGGTCCTGTGTGTACAAGGGTCAGACAGAGTTTTGCCTGGAGCCCCACCAGTGCATTTTCTGGCCCAATGGACAGAAGGGATAACATTGAGATGTCAAAGAGGAGTGGTGACTGTCACAACCCAGCAACTGCTCTAAGCCCAGAAGCAATTCATCTGAAACGCTTTCCCACAGAGCAAAGAGAAGCCACTGAATCCTGGTGTCTGGGCCTCAGATCTGTGGAGGCAGCAAAGAGCACATGCTTGCTCGATCAGCATGCCCAGCTGTTCTCTCCCTCCAACACATGGTCCTGTGTTTCAGGCCACAGGAAGGAACCGGCAAGGACAAATACAAGCCTTTAGATGTATCTTTAGCATGGCCCAAGTTACTTCCTGGAAGACAGTGGTCAGAGAAAACCCACAGGAAAATGAGAATGGGAATTCAGGACTGGGCCTTTGGAAAGGAGGACCAGTGCTCTGCCACGGGCTAATGATAATTTTATCTTCAGTTGTTTGCTGACCAGTGGAGATTGTCTTGGTTTTTTGAGTCCCTAGGAAAGGGAACTGCACTGGACTCCCATGAAGGGCCAATAAAGTACCTGGGAAGACAAGACACGACCAAAGAAGTCTAGCTGGTGTAAGGGGGTGCATACCTATCACCCCAGTGCTTGAGAGGCAGGAGAGTCAAGATTTGAGGCCAGCCTGGGCTATATAACAAGACTCCTTCAGAAAACAAAACAAAACTAGATTGGTATACAAGCTTTTCAAGGCACGACATGATTAGCTGCCAAAATGAGTTGAAAATAATGCAATTCTTTTTCATGTCCAATTCCTACAGTACATGAATGCTATTCTTCCTGGAATTCTTCCAGCTCTACAGATGGGTTTTATATTAGTTCCTTTTCTTTTTGGTGTGACAAAATGCCCGACAAAAGCCAGCCACAAAGGAAGGGTGGGTTTATTTTGGCTCACGGTGTAAGGGGGTGCACTCTACCACAGTGGGGGGATAGCTGGTCACACTGCATCCGTATAGGTGAACACTGATGAACCCTGCATCCGTATAGGTGAACACTGATGAACCCTGCATCCGTATAGGTGAACACTGATGAACTCTGCATCCGTATAGGTGAACACTGATGAACACTGCATCCGTATAGGTGAACACTGATGAACACTGCATCCGTATAGGTGAACACTGATGTTCAGCTCAGTTTCCTTGTGCTTCCTTCTCATTCAGCACAGAGCCCCATCCCATGGGATGGTGCCACACATGCTCAGGGTCGGTCTTCTGGAAATGTCTTCACAGAGGTACCCAGAATTGTGTTCACCAGGGGACTCTCATCCCATGAAGCTGATAGTGAAGATTAAGCATCTTGCGACTGTCCCTTTTCACACTGGTAGGGGATGGCTGGCCTTCCACAGGGAATTCTGGGCTTTGGCACTGGCTGAGGCCACTGCTGAGACACTGTTCCTTACCTCTTCCTGCTCTCTGTGCAAGCCCAGAAGAAGCGTTTCAAACTGCAGCATGGCCTTCCTATTTTCTTTCTTCTCCAGGTTCCAAACTACCACTTAATTTATTTTTTCCCCCAGTTTCTCCCATTAGAATGTAAACCTGCCACCAGTGAAGACTTTCTGTTGTTGCTTTGTTTGTTTTACTGATTTGTCCCACTGGTGGGACGGAAGATACGTTCACCAAGCACCTGGTGAGTGGATTAGGGCCTAAAAATGAAGGGTAGCAAGTCCATTCTGAGTGTCTTCCTCCTCTGGACAAAGGACACCTGTTTTCGTCTTCTCTCCGCATGGCTGTCATTTAACTCTTTGGTGTTCGCCTGTCATCTCCTGATTGAGCCTCAGACGTCCACCCCTCCAACGCTAGCCTCTTACAGTGTTTACAACTGAGCACCGTTGCATCTGCTCTTCCATGTTGGCCATGAAGTCTAGCAGGTCAGAACAGGAAGAGACATTCAGCAGGTCAGATCTCACGGGAGTTCAGGACATGGGAAGGGGAGGGTTTCGTGGGAATCAGATGAGAGAGAAGTGATGGGCACAGTGGGCTAATCAATAAACCTTCCTGGCTTGTCACAACAAAATCAGACAACATCTCATTTCGAGGACGTAAGTGCTACTCAGACCCATTTCTCAGAGAGACGACTGAAGACACTGGCTTTTCCAAGGATCACCTGTCACCTCACAGGTCGCTGTCCTGGCATAAGCCGAGCTTCATCTTGACAAAGGACTGGAACCAGTTCTGGCCCCCAGCCCCACCCGCTGACTAGTCTAACAACCACGAGAGAAGCCAGGAAAGAGCACATGCTGTGCAAGGCCCAGGAAACTTGACTTTGGAGATGACAGCTCATTCACTAAGTTCTTGGGATCCTCTGACCCTCAGAAAGTTCTGGGGGTAAACACGGGTACTCGTTTACACGACAGCCACTCCTCTCCACTCTGCAGTGGCAGCCCTGCTTTGATACCAGGCTCTTGCTGTGATGTTAGCACTTTTGCTTCCAAGGAAACCAAGACCTAAATGTTTACTCTGCGTATTTGCCAGCAGCAAAAGGACTTGGCTGCAGCTATTTCTGCTCATTCTCAAGTCTGCAGCCCGGCTGAAGGAGGGACGAATGTAAAGAAGAGAAGACAGACAGTAAGGGGGGACCAATCACACCTGCAGAGCCCCTTCTCAGTGCTACTCACAACCTTACACACTGAGCTACTGGCATCTTGCTTCCAGATGACTCAACTCCAAAAGAGGAAACTTAAGTTCTGGAGGAGTTCTGGTTCTATTTGCTGATGTCCAGTGTGGTCTTCAATATCTCAAATACCAGGAGACTAATGCTGCATCAAGGTAGAGAACCCAAAACTTACAGAGCAAATAGGTTTTTACAAGATGTGAATTAGTCAAAGTGAGAGGAGGTTCTTGCACCATGAAATCTACAAATGGATGTGAAGTCCTGGGCGAAGACGCAGAAATGGGCCCCACCAGGCAGCAGAGCCTCTCCTATGCTTTTTTCTTTTGCCTATACTTGGGAGCATCTCCTCAGACGATCTCCTCCAGACCTCTGCCACAGTTAGGGACTCTCTGGGCTGCAGACCCATGGTAGCTGTCCCCAGTTCTCTGAATTCTATTTTGTTCTTTTTTTAAAGCATATTTTATGGTTGTAATAGATCTTGGTTATAACCACACTTCATCAATAACAGCTATATCATATACCCTCAGCCCAAACTTCATTAATGCAATGCCAAAGTGGATTATTGATGATCAAAGATGCACTACACAGATCTGGGCCATCTTCACTTAGAAAGGAAGAGAGAAGTAGACAGAAAGCATGGCCACTATGCAGCATACACATGTATCAGGGTGGGGTGGCGAGCCACTTACATCCTGCCTCTCAGAGCCTTGGCTTTCTGTTCTTCTTCCAGGTTTCTAGGAGGTGTGGGAGGGGTCATCCCCTCATTCAGGCAGCCTGTGGGGTCCTTCAAGCTCCCCCGATAAGAGCCTCCTTCCAGAGTCTAAAAAGAGAAGGATAAATGGCTTAGAATGAGCACTGGAAAGTTATTTGCAAGCCCAGCATCTCCCCATTCTAGCCACAGGCAATGTGAAAACCAGCAGTCTGAGGACAGCCAAGGCCGTTCTCTCTGAACCACAGTGAAGCATTGGGGAATTAGAGACCTCCATCTTCCTGCAGCAGGGAGCTGCTATCCACAATCAGGGTACACCAGGCATCCGTGTGATCAGGGCACACTTGGCATCTGTATGCTGCCAGCTGCCCAGACATAATGAAATTGTCACAGTGACTTATCTCTGGGTGAGGGCGCCAGCAGGAAAACTAACCACTGGGGTTCTATACCAAATAAGGCATTGGAAAGGAAAACCGGTTGTAGGATCACTTCATACAAATTGATAAGCAAAGGGAAGTGACCACGTAGGTTGTGGAAACCATACTTTGTTACATTAACTGCAACGCTTTGAAAGATGACAATCAGATGTAGCAAAGAAACAGCCAATAGTTGTAGCCTTTTCTAAAAAAAAACATTGTTAAGGTTATTTACCAAGAGCTTTCTTTTATTAAATCCTTATTTCTGTTAACTAAGGTACTACTTAATTAATACAAATAAGTAAATGGATCAATATAGTGTTTTAGAAGCAGCTAAGAAAAGGAACCGGAGGGTTAGCTCCAGGTCTGACAGGCCCAGTGTACTCTTGCAAGGGACATGACACTGTCATGTGTGTCCCTGGGTTTTCAGCTCAGATTCTCCCTTTTAGCAAATTTCTAAGGGACAGAAATGATAGTAGCACAAACTCCAGGAAAAGTTAAAAATGCTGCACAGGTACTGAGGCTAGTACTGACATCAGTAACATACTCAAGTTGTAACTGGCAGCAGTAACATACTCTTTGGGGCCAAACTAACATTTTAATGTATGAAGTTTATTTGCTTAATGCATGCTTAGGTTACCATCATATAGGTCTTTGAAGATTTTTAAAAATTAATTTAGACAGACTCATACATATATGCAATGAATTTTAGCTCTTTTCACTGCCTATTACCCTGTCTCAGTCCACCCTTTCTTTCTCCAGCTGAAATCCATCTTCCCATCTCTGAGTGTGACTCACGAATAAATAGGGCTGTCTCATGAGCATGGGTGGGATGTTATTTACTTGAGTTTAAGCAACTTAGCAGTGGTTATAACACTGAAAAAGGTGACATCTCCATGTTAACTGCTCATACCTGTCGGGGATGGGGGCTCATGAGCTCTTCCCTGTTTTATGATGAAATGTTGCTGGGTCCAATCTTGTACAGGTCTTGTCAGATAACCACAGTTGCTTTGAATTCATGGGAGCAAGAACCATGCCACATCTAGAAAACAATGTTCTGCAACATCTCGCCCCATCTTCCAACCCTTCCATTCTTTCCAACCCCTCTTCTGTGGTGCTCTCTGAGCCCGAGAGCCAAGCTGTAGGTAATATAAGTACCCTGGGTAGAAAGACTGCCCAATGGCACTGTGGCTTCTGGGGATTTGTAGAAGCAATGCTGAGAAACACTAATCCTCGAGATCAAGATCAAGGTGGGCATCCATAATACAAATGTCAACTATCCAAGGGGCCCGACTATGCCAGCCTCTGTGGTTTCTAAAAGGCTTCATTGAGTAGTCTTTGGAAACACCATCCTAAAACACAAGCCCCAAAGACCAAAAAGTGCCAAGCACAAAGGTGGCAGGACAAAGGGCTGTGGCTCGTCTTCAACAGACTGTACTTGAGAGCATCCATCACTAACTCTCTTAGCTGCTGTATCTCAACAGAAGCCAAACAGAGGCAGGAAAGAGCACTCCAGGGAAATGAAACAAAGCAAATATGGTACCCCATAGGAGGAAAGATGGAGAAGATTAAGACTTGAGTCTTCAAAACTTCATGTTGAACAGTGACATCAGCCTTCTCTCCCACTCCCCAAATTGACAGACTATGCCAAGGGTCAGACATGAATCTGTTGCCAACACTAGAATTAAAAGTGCAGGCGGCTAGTATTTATCCCTGGCATACAAATAGACTTTGAGTGCCCATCCCACAATGAGGGATGCACTCTCAGCCTGGACTCTTGAAGGTGGACCTAGACCCTATCCTGGATGACATGACAGACTCTGGAGATCCACCATGGAGGGCCTCACTCTACCTGGGGATCAGGGTGGAGATTGGGTGGAGAACTGGGAGGCCTGGTGGGGAGGGATGGGGAGGAGGGGAGGAGTGGGAGCTGGGATTGACATGTGAAACAAACTTGTTTCTAACTTAAATAAAAAAAAAAAAGGGAAAAAAAGTGCAGACGGCGTCTTCCAACTTGAAAGAGACAACTGCTTTCCACTTGACATAAAGGTGTTTACAGAACAAGTAATTAACCGTGGAAGCTGTTATGTCCAAACCAGCAGTATAGGCTAAAAATAAAGAAAGGTCGAGAAGGGTTTAGCTACATTTATAGATACAGGATTCAGAGCCTGTTATTAAGGAAATTAGGATGTCTGGTGCTGAGGCTCGACAAGCCAGTGGACCGGCAGCTTTCCAGTGCGTGTCCCCTGGTGCCATCACGAGAGACAGGCTCCAGCGCAGATGGACCCAGCTGGTGACGGATCTGATTAGTATCTTTTACTTCCCATCTCTCCCACTGTCCTGTTGTGGTCTTTGTTCTGCAGCCTGTTGGCTGGTGGGAAGGTGAATGCCAGGCCCAGCAAGCAGGCTTACACTGATGCCTCCAGGGTGCATGTCACAACCAGCTTAGCATGGTCCAATCTGTCTACAGAGTAAAGGGCCTCTAAGGAGTTCAAGGTGTCACACAGAAACATCTGCCTTTCTCTCTTGGCTTTGTGTGAGCAAAGAAGCCCAGTTACCTCCTGGGGAGGACTCTGGGACAGTCACAAGAGTGTCACAGTAAGAGGGAAATAATGGGCCTGGCCTAGTTCTTATGCTGGGCAGCCTGCCTGAAATGAGAGAGCTGGCTCCCTTCCTCTTGCATATAGTAATTCCACAGTGATCCCCTATGAGGACTCAGCTGCCTGTGCTGGAGTTGGATACCCAGACCCAGCCGAGGGTAACCAGGGTGACATGTCATCAGTGCTTTCCTCAGGAGGAAAGAGCCAGTGGTTGCCAGTTTGTCTCCACAGTAAAGAACTCTGCCCCACCTGTGGTTTAGAGTCATAGCATCCAGCAGAGAAAAGAAAAGTGAACAAGGAAGGAGCCACACACGTTCCTATGGCTCATCCAAGGTCAGGGGATGGCAATGCAAAGAGGATTCAAATAGATGACTTGCAAAGGAGAAAGGCCACTGTCCTGGCGAAATGAACACATTCCCCAGTCGCTGGGTCTTGGGTCACGTGCCCTCCTCTGCTCCTATACGCGATCTTTCATTCTCCCTGCACATCATTCATTACATAACTGTAACCAATGCCTTATTTGTACATAAAAATCAAGTTGGATCCCTGAAAATGCAGGGGAAATGAGGATGAGTAAGAGTCTCAGACCTCCACAATCTGACCCATGCTGGTGTTTTGACCATGTAGGATAACAAAAGGGGCAGATGGCTCCATAGTGGGAGGGGGAAAGCAGAGAAGGACTTCATGGAGAAGGCGGAGCTCAGGGAAGCTATCCTTTGGTGTCCTGTGGGATTGGCTCAGACTCCCCCCCATCCCCAAATCCAGGTCCCTTATAAAATGGCTCAGTGTTTCCATGTAACATATATTCATTATCCTACATAGTTAACTAACTTCTGCATTATTTATAGTGTAGACTATGATGCAAATGCCATGTAATGATTGTTACACTGTCCTGCTTGGGGAACAGTGACAAGAAAGAAAAAGTCAATACATGTCCAGTGCAGATGTAATTTCTCCCCAAAGAATCCACAGAAGTCACAGAAAAGGAACCCAGGGATGTGAAGGGCTGGCTATTCTGAGATATTAAAAAATTCACTGGATATAGCAACAGGAGAACATTCCTGGCAGGGACTGCACTGGGAGAAAGGTCATGGAGGGAAACCACGTGGGGAGAGCAAAAAACCTGTTGCAGGTAGAATTGGATGTATGAGGAGAGGCAGAAGACTGTGTTAGTGCGTTGTGTGTGCGTGCATGTGTGCGTGCGTGCGTGCGTGTGTGTGTGTGTGTGTGTGTGTGTGTGTGTGTGTGTATGTGATGGGTGCTAGTGAATGGGGGTGGGTGCTGGTGAGTAGGGATGGGTGGACGCCAGAGAAGCAAGACACAAGGGGTGAAGTCAGATCCTGGAGACACACAGATGACATTTTAAGGAGCCTGTTGTGGCAGCTGGCAGGAGAGTAACATTGGATTTAAGTTGTAGAAAGATCACTCTCAACATTCCAAAGAGCTTTTCATGACACAGGAAAATGTGTCTGACCGAACAGCAAAGGAGAGCAGGATGTAGAATCTAAATACTATGATTACATTATTGGACAGAGGATCTGAAAGAAACATATGAAACCCTAACACTGAATGTATCTAGATGATGATGATCTCTGTTTAGGCTCTTGCCATTTTTCCAATTCTTCCTGAATAAGCATATAATGCTTTCATTAAGTTGTTTTTAAAAGGGAAGGTATCCCTTTGCCAATGGAAGCATGCCAGGAGGGACTGGCTGCAACTGTGCAGACTTTGGAGCATTGACCTTAGGTTGTGGACTCTCAAAGGAAGGCTCCATGCTGGGTTTCAAAGCTCAAGTGACTATGCCTGGCCTCCTGAGTGGAGATCAAAGCTCATCCAATGAGATAACAGGGAAGTCACTGGCCTAGCACCACTCACCACGCCCAACAGTCCCTCTTAGCTGCTCCTATTATAGAAACTTCTTCATCACACTCTTAGGATGGCTACACATTGGATGGGAAGAAGTGGGGCGAGAAGGAAGAAGTGGAGGAGGGGGAAGAAAAACAAACCCTGGCTGGGGAGAGAAGAAAGAAAAGCAGAGCTTGCATGCTGTCTGTGGGGGGGTGGAGAATGGGATTCAGGTCCTAAAGGAATGGAAACTCCAACTACCATAAGATATAGCACTCCAGCCAGGCATGGCAGCGCTTGCCTTTAATCCCAGCACTCGTGAGGCAGAGGCAGAGGCAGGCGGGTCTCTGTGAGTTTGAGGCCAGCCTGGTCTACAGAGCGAGCTCCAGGACAGCCTCCAAAACAATACAGAGAAACTCTGTCTCGGAAAAAACAAAAAACAAACAAACAAACAACAACAAAAAGAAACCCTGTCTTGGAAACAAAACAAAATTCTGCCAATTGCCACATTTTGGATAAACTTGGAGAACTTGATGTCAAACGAAATAAGCCAGACACAGAGAGAAGAATATCACACTATCTCTGATATAAAGGACATCTTTTTCAAGAGTCAGGTTTACATGGAGGTAGAGAATGAAATAGAGGCTACCAGAGGTGTAAGGAGAGGGAGGGGAAGAAAGGAATGATAGAACTCAACAGCTCAAGGATACAGATGTGTGACATGAATTGTTCTAGAGATCCAACCCACACACTGAAGGCTGCACTTAATATCGTGTTATGTTAGGGACCTTAGTCAAATAGATTTAGGTGTTCTTGTCACACAGAAAATAACCATGTGAAATAACAGCTGTGTTAACTTGCCTCTCAGTATAGTGAACATTTTACTATACATACATACATACATACATATATACATGTGTGTGTGTGCATACATAAGTATACATATACATACATACATAGATATACATACATACATACATGTATGTATATATACATCCATAACCTCATGTTGTAAAGCTCACATTTAGGCACTAATAGACTTTTAAAGATTTGTAGACTATCCCCCTAACAAAAAGCATCAGAGCTAAGCCGTTCTAACCAGGGTCGGCTATGGGGCATCTACACAGTGAAAAAACTGAAGTGTGGGATTTTCAGGCAAATGAAACTTCAGGTTGGTGATCTGGGGTTTAAATCTTCGTTGGAACTCTAATCTTTCCTATTCTGAACCTTAGGCACCCTTACCAGAGGGTGCTAGGTGACCCAGTTCCTGAAAAGATATGCCACCAGAATGGATATGATGGGGCCACTGCTTCAGCTCCTCTCAATTCTGAACCTGTAGAACTCTACAGGGCTACTGACTGAATGAGTTGATTGATGTGAAGCACAGACACAGGCATAGACATATCCTGACCTGAGCCACAAGGCTACCCTGAGGAGGTGAGTGCTCTCAAAGCAGGAGAGTCAGACGGTAGTCTTGCTGAAGCCAACTTGTACATTTCTCAGGCCACCAGGAAGAACAGACTAGAGCTGCCACTGGCCAATCCCACTACCTTGGAGGTGGGAGACATCGAGACACATCCACCAGGCCATGAGAGGGCAGTGAGCAGCTTGGGTGTGCCACCTACAAGTGCTAAGAGGGGGCTTCCTGGAGGTTCAGTCTCTCATATGGCCAGGAAGTTTTAGCCTTAGCCTTGATGAATGAAACCAAATGGTATCATCTACTAAACTATTTCCCTGTAACATTCACCCACCACCAATCTACTGGCCAACAAGTTCTAGGTTTCCACACACCCACACTAGGTCTTGGAGGCTGGAGACAACACAGTTCTTTTTGACTGCCCTAAGAGCTAACTAACATTTGTAGATGCCTGATTATCAGTGTATGAAGCATGGCCATGCCTATGCAATCATCTTTGCTCTCTTGAGATTAGATTCAGGCTAACAGATTCATCATCAGGAGGGACCCAAGAGACTAAGTCATTTTCCTACACAGACAAGTCACTTTTCTGGGGCCATGTTATCAGAAGGAGCCCAGGACTGAAACCTTTGCCTCCAAGTTCCTCACACACTTTCTATCAGTTACAGGACCAATAGCTGCTAAAGAATGAAAATGTCATATCAAGACTCATATGGGTAAGTGGTAGTGAATGCTTTCAATCCTAGCACTCAGGAGGCAGAAGAGGTGGATCTCTGTGAGTTTGAGGCCAGCCTAGTCTACAGAGCAAGTACAGCATCCGCCCTCCCGCCTTCTAAAAAAACAAAAACAAAAACAAAAACAAGAAAACCCAAAAACCTCACATGAGGAAAGCAGAAAAAAGTGCTTGTTCTGGCTCTGAGTTTAAGAGAACCCAGGAAAAGTGAGTTAGCTCTGCTGGTGGATGTGTGGGCATCCTCTCATGGTAAACAAATTCATAGGCTAAAGACAAAGCCAGCAAGGAAGAACTCAGAAGGGTCCATCATTCCCAGGACTTACCAGTGGAGGCTCCCCAGGGATTTCTCTGCAGTGGAGGCAAACCTACAGATCCTACTTTCATTCTCCAATAGCAGCTTCTGGGCAGCTGGTGTGGAACCATGGTGCAACCATGCCCAAAGACTACACTAGGGTAGCCCTGGGACCTAGGCCATGGGAGATCTCATAGCCCTCAGGTAGAGCTAGGGAGCCAAATAAATTCTAAGTACAGAATTTGATGCCATTGTTTGAACAATTAACAGAGAAAGCAGACAGACTTGGAACCAAAACTAACTCCTGTAAGATGGAGCCAGACTCTTAATTGGAAAAAACTCCACTGGTTCTTCCTCATACCCCACTAAGACAACTGCCTCCAGGCCCAGGATCTGGAGCAAGGGTCAGACTAACCTTTCACTCCCACAGCAGCGCTTCAGGCACTGGAACACAACCCTCCGCACAGGTTTCTCCCCAACCTTAATCTCAGTTTCTTCAGTTTTCATTCAAGTAACATGGACCACACGGTACTGGCTACTTCCTCCACGGCCATTCCAGTTCTTTTAAAAACATGCTCGATGACTGCATTTAGAATGAATAGATTACTCACACACAGCTCATCAAGGTGTGGCCGAATGGCTTGGAGTTCAATGGCACCGTAGACTCTAGACTTGCACACTGAACTTTGAACAAGTCTGTGACGTTACCGTTGACACAAACTCTGAACTGTAATTGAATGAGTCTGTGAGACCACTGGCTACTTTGGCAGCCTCTATGCTGCTGTGCTCCATCAAATAAACCCCAGAATTTTTTATGACCTCTTGGATTCTTTCTTCAAGGTGAAAAGCTAATGAGGAATAAATAGGAATATGTCTTGGAGGTAAAAAAAACACAAGTTAGTGGTCTCAAACATGGCTGAAATAGCCTCTGTTTTCTATGGCTATACCTCAGTGGGTTGCTTCATGGCTATGCCAGAGTGGAATGGGAAAGAAAGATGGGGAAAAGAATCAAATTTTGGTGAGAAAATTCTAAGAAACCAATCCACTGCTCCCTCATTCTTTTCTTATATGGGTTTTTTTTTTTATGTTACACTAGAGACGTCTCTGTGATAGCAGGCTCCACATAGATCTTCAAGAAGTAATTATTGGTGGGAGAAGTTAGTGTTCTTCTTATGGTAAACTCACCACGGAAAGGGTGTTTATTTAGTAGTCATTAATTGAGAGCCAGTGATTGGATCTGTGAACTCTGACTTCACTCCATATTCCCTCTTCTCTGGGACACTTGCCCCTGTGGGACATCCCAATAATTGTGCTCATGTCTCTAATACTACTGATCCCATATACCAGGGACAACAGTGAGAAAGTTAGCAATAGTAAGTAGAAGGGTAAAGGTCACTCCAAATCAAAGCAGATATAGATTTTTGGAACGAGTATTTGTAAAGAATTTACTAAGTGTTAAGACTACTATATATTAATGGAAGAAAAAAAAAACAATACTATCTCAAATAACTTATGAGCAGGGGAAAAAAGTTGCAAATGCAGACATTCAGCTATTTTAGCAATAACAGAACTATGGCTAACAGCATGAAGCTTTGGGAACTACAGTAGGACTTCAGAAGAAATCTGGCCAGGACTGGTAAGGGAAGCCTTTGTGAGACATAGATTTGGGAGAGGGAGGCCTGAAGAAATACTACTATGCATTAGATAAGCAAAAATACGAGTGTGTGACTTTGTAAAGTCAATGTAGTGTCTGCAAAAACCAAGGGGAGAGATGGCAGGAAAGCAGATAGCCTCTAAGAACTTGACTTCTTACCAAAACCACCATCTACAAACACCATTTGTTCTCTCATCGCAACCATGATTAGCAGGCCTTCTCAGCAGAAGTCTGGTGGGAGAGTGGCGAGTTAGCTAGATGAGAACTGCAGGAAAAGCCGAACAGGTAGACCACAGAGAAAGACAGCAAGATGCTTGGAACTGCTGTCCTGTTGTTTACACTCATAAAAACACGGGGCTAGAGGGGGACAGCTCCATCCCAGTGACCTACCTGCCTGGGAGGAGTGTTAGCACACCTCTGAAATCCTGAGCCAGCTCACGCTAATTGCCTAATTGCCCTTCCTTCTGGTACTATGATTGGCCTAAAAGATAGTCACAGGCTTGACCAGTTGTTAGTGGCTCCTGTGTGCTTTCCCTGTATGACAAAGGTACATTCTGGCTCTCTTGATTTCTCATGGCAAGGTTACTCACAAACGCCTCTACTCCTTGATAATCAGTGGCCTAATTTCTAAGACCCAGCAAACTAGAAAGTCTCCAAACAAAAGTGCCTGGTTCTTTAGACAGCCCAATCCATATTCTGTCTCAGCAGCACATGACACTGGCTTCAGGGCTAGCCTGAGACACAGCAGTCAGTGATGGAGTGCCAGGTGGTTAGGGACCAGCTGGTCAGTTTGCAGTGAGGCATATTTATTTTCAGTTTTCAGTGAGGCATATTTATTTGCTTTGGAAACTCTACCTTTCATCTACTTCAACCCTAAAGGCCTTGTTGATTCCCTGTGCCAATCCTCACATAGAGCTGAAAAGGCACATCTTTTAGAAACCACCATTACATGAAATGATTCTACAGGAGGAATAAGTGGAATTGGGACACGGCTGCCTGATTGAGGCCCAGTTTGAGGCCCTGGAAGCCACATGGAGGGAGACGCGACACAGAACTGCCTCCAGGATGCCCACTTACCAGCTTGCTTTTGACCAACTTTTCTATGGCACTGACAAGGTCTGCCGCAGTAGGTACTTCAGCGGAAGCCTGCCGGGCTGCTAGCAAAGAGGAGGACTGCAAGACATCGGACAGCAAAGGAAAAGCAGATTAGCGGGAAATGAGGAACAGGGTTAGGAAGCAAACCAGACAGTCCAAAGTTCGAGGCAGGCTAGGAGAGCACAGGGTTGTGTTCAGATGACAGAGACGACAGAGGGAGATGGTGGTGGGCAGTTGGGTATAGGTGAACTACATACCCCTTGTTAGGAATTCTGGTCAGTGACAAAGTAGGGATGGGCCTGGCCCTCCTTAGGGGCTGAGGGGAGGGGTCACTGAATTCCCCCAGGAAACCCACAGGTGAGGGCTATGCAGACTGATAGCAGGGCACAGGGAACTGCTCTCAGTGAGAGCATAACTTTGGCCTTTTGTGGTAGCCCATTGCTGTTCCATGGTCTGGAAGGTATGGACAATTCCAGCCTCAAATGTGTGTGAAGGAGATAAGGTCCTTGTTTTATTACAGTCTCAGCTGGGAATCATCTCTGCATGTCAAGCAAGCTGGACACCTTTCCACATATCTTTCCCTCTCTCTCCTAATCATTTACACACACACACACTCACACACACACTCTCTCTCACACACACACATTCACACACACACTCTCTCTCACACACACACACACACTCACTCTCTCTGTCTCACACACACACACACATACAAGGCACTAGTAAGGCTCCCAAAAGTAAGTACTAAAAGGAGTTGTGCGTCACAAGCTGGGACTCCCAGAGACTGTCCTGCTCACAGTAAAGGGAGGCTCAGCTACAGGCCCCTCTGTGTCCTTCCCTGGACCAGTGGCAAGGTTTTGTGTGGTGATGTTTTTGTACAATGGCTGGGTGTTTCTCCCACATACTGAAGGACAGTCTTTGCTTATTAATCTGCTTAGTTTTTTCATCTTCCATCCTCCTGAGGGGAAGCTAGGGGAGAGATGGCTAACTCTCCATCCTCCTGAGGGGAAGCTAGGGGAGAGATGGCTAACTCTCCATCCTCCTGAGGGGAAGCTAGGGGAGAGATGGCTAACTCTCCATCCTCCTGAGGGGAAGCTAGGGGAGAGATGGCTAACTCTTCATCCTCATGAGGGGAAGCTAGGGGAGAGATGGCTAACTCTCCATCCTCCTGAGGGGAAGCTAGGGGAGAGATGGCTAACTCTCCATCCTCCTGAGGGGAAGCTAGGGGAGAGATGGCTAACTCTCCATCCTCCTGAGGGGAAGCTAGGGGAGAGATGGCTAACTCTCCATCCTCCTGAGGGGAAGCTAGGGGAGAGATGGCTAACTCTCCATCCTCCTGAGGGGAAGCTAGGGGAGAGATGGCTAACTCTCCATCCTCCTGAGGGGAAGCTAGGGGAGAGATGGCTAACTCTTCATCCATGTGTGTGCTTAGGGCAAAGGGCAGTGGTGTTCGCAGGCGGGGACATGAGGAGGAGAATGAAGGTGAGCACAGAAAGACCTATGTCCTGGGCTTGACCAGGTTTCACTTTCAACCTTCAGGTTAGAGAAGAGACTTTTACGTCTTTGTTTCTAAGATTGGGGGAGAGCAAATAAATGCAATTAAGAAAGATATAACACTATTCTTTTTTCATCTTTTGGAAGAATGCAGGAAAAATTTCTTGGTTTGGAAAACCAAGTTACCATCTTAGATTAAGTAACGCTACATCTGGGAACTCATTCCAGGGTCGCATGTCAGAAGGACAGACACTGGATCTGCATAGTGATCTTCAGGGTTATTACTCAGAGGCACAAAGACAGGAAACACCTTAGGCTGTCACACAAAGGGCTGGCCATGACAATTATAGAGCATAAGTAAGTAAAATATTCTCCAGCTACTGAAAATTAGTTACACAGGTAAAACGAGTAAGATTCTACAAAGCGGGAGTGAATATATGAAACATTGAACATGTCACATACATAGTGTAAGTGGGAAGCATCCATGCACATGAACAAAAGACAGATGACATAGAAAACAAAGGATTCAGACGTGAAACGGTTGCACTTTAAGAAGCTCCTGTCGGGGTTGGTGGGGCAACCTAGACTCTTAACACTGAGCAGGCACAGGCAGAAGGATTTCAGCAAGTTCAAGACCAGCCTGACCTACACAATGAGTTTCAGGCCAGCCACAGCTACCTAGTGAGTCTGTCTCCAAAGAACAAAATTGCTTTAATAAGTCCAACTCTACTTGCTAGGAGTACTGAGACTTATCCCAATCCCAAATATTCCAACAAAAGCCAAGCGGACTAAAATCAAAAAGCTAGTCTGGGGACAGAGCTGCTGTGTCTAAAAAGGGACTGCTGCAATACACTACGTATGAAAGAAAAGGACCACATGTATATGCCTGGCGTAAATCTGTACTCAGTTAAAATTTATCCAGGAGCTAGCTAACACCCATTCAACCCCAACCAACTGTTTGAGGGGACTAGGAGAGGGTTCATGACCTGTCTGTTTTATGCAGGCAAAGGAACCTGGGAACTCTTACCCTCCACCCACCCACCCCCACATTAATACTGTTCATAGGATGTTTTACAAGGGTGGGTGGGGAAGCCAGGAGGCTAGTTCTCATAAAGGTGAAGGGCAGGCATCTCTGCCTTTGGGCACAATTTCATGCTTCTATTGTTTTCTTTCCAAACACCCCAGAGTCAACTGGCCCTAGAATCTAGGGTCCAAACATCTCTGTAGAAGGGGACACAACTGTGTGCTTATTAGGGTAAGCATCATGGCAGATAGCCACATCTTAGTCCCTGCCAGTCCCTCTAGCCTCAGAGGATGACCTTCAATATTTATGGGTTAACGACCAAGTGTAAAGCAGACAGAATCAAAATAAAAATGCAGGGACACCCATAAACAGAGCCTATGAAAAGTCTGATGCCTATACACACTTGGCCTGCTGACTCAATGAAGGCTTTCCCAGTACAGGGCACAAGGCAGAACATAGTGAGAGCCAGAGACAGCTAGACCAGCCGCCACTACCACCACAAAAATGATACACTGGAAAAGAACAGGAAGTGCAACCCAATGCTGGAACTTCCACGTCAATGGCCAGAGTCACAAGTACAAGCTACTATATGAGAAGGCAAGAAAAACCCAATGGAACACAGGCATGGCTGTGAGGAAAGCAAGGAGAGACAGCATGGTGGCCCACACCTTTACTCCAGCTTAGGGAGACAGAGGCAAGTGGACTTCTGTGAATTTGGGGCCAGCCTGATCTACATAGTGAGTTTATGGCCAGAAAAGGCTACACAGTGAGACCCTGTATCAAAAGAACAAAAGGTAGCCCCATGTTCCAGGTCAGTGCCTGGGAGTCAGGGCCATTGGAGTCCCAGCTTCCACTCTAGAACAGCAGAATGACCTAACCGCAGGAGCATGTCACTGGACATGGACCTTTCCAACACCAGCGAACAGGGCATTTTACAAAACAAAGGGCTATGGCAGCTTGGCATGCTTTACTTTCCCCTGCTTGACAACACCCTTAGACTATTAGCATCTCTACTACAGCTTTGACTCAGGCACGAGTGACTGCGATTAGACTTCTAGAGCTGAATGCAGAAGACAACTAAAACACAGGTTGCACGTCAGGCATTACCCAATGATTGACACCTGGAACCCTCACAGATTCCTTTTTGAGACAAATAGTTCCTTTTAGGGTCTGCTGCTTGCAAATACAGTCTCATGACCTTCTATCCACAGCATGCGTTCCAGGGCAGATTCCTACTTTAACTAGTCTTTGCATATCCTGACACTGCCCAGAACAAGACCAAGCCTCTGGAACTGTGGGAGAGGACACCTACTAACCAGCAGCATCTACATCACCGTGCATTCTCCAGGGGAAAGCACTGATAGGGAGGGCAGCCCTGCTCCCCGTCTCACATACTCAGGAAGAGAAATCTCAGCAGAGGTCCTACCATCTCATCCTGGGTGGGGTCGTTGTCAAAGATCTTCATGGGCGGAGGAAGGGGTGTGTGTGACTCTTCATCTGGCTCATCTTCGCCCCAACCCTTCTTGCTCTTCTAGAACAAAAGAACACCATTAGGTACTGCTACATCAATAAAAGATGCCAATAGTTCAGGGCTTGGCATTAAAACTTTTTTTTCTTAAGAAGAAATAGAAAGAGAGAAAGTTGGAAGACTAACTTTTTAAATTAATTTTCCCCTCCCCCCACTTTTTTCCCCCAAAGAGTCCAGGCTGGTCTTGAACTCATGATCCTTGTGTCAGCCATCTGGGTACTGAGATTACAGGAATGTTATGTCTCACCATGCCAGGACTAACTTCAAATTTTTCCAAAAAGCTATTAAACTACCATCTAAATCTCACCAGGATTTTGTGCCATTTTCAACTTGAAAAATGGCAGGTGGAACAAAGTTATGAGAGGAAGTCTGGTTCTGCATCAGGAAGGCTTTCTTACTAGTAATTGGAATAGGCTAGTTATGCAGATAAAACAGGCATTTTACTCCCCAAGCCAAAATACATCCCCTATATTTTTATTACAGAATCTCAGTTCTACAAGAACTCAAGAGATTATCCAGCCTAACTTCTTGGCTAAAACCCAGTTCTCTATGACTAATGTGGTCAGAGGATTGCATGATGGCCCATTTCATCATCACCAGCTGTCTCTATCAACGTTCCTCACTGAGCTGAAACCTTGTCCACTGTGACCTTCATGTATTCTTCATAGCTATCCCTCTGTGACACCTTTATTTGTTTGTTTGTTTGTTTGCTTGAGATAAGGTCCCACTGTGCAGTCCCCGCTTGCCTAAAACTCAACATGTAGAAGTCAGAGATCAGCTGCCTCTGCCTCTGGAACTAAAGGGGTGCATCACCATGCATGTCATCTGCAGCACCCTTTACAGGTGACATTGTTCAAAACCCTGGGCTGCAGCTCAGCCTCGGGCTTTCTGAGTGACACAGTCTCAAGCCTTGCATTCTTACTCTGTATCTGTCCAGTTTTCATGCCATCCTCAGTAGAGGCAGGGGATCAACTGCCTCTTGTCTCACCAGGACCTTCATTCTGAACTGGCAAATCTTTGTTTCTGTCTGCTTGAGAGTCTCAGTGCTTAAATGTCTCTGGATGGGGCATCCATCAAAGCAGTCAAGTCTCAAGAATGGAAAGTTCTGAGATGACACGCTACTAGAGATGGTAGACCGTGAGGGAAGCATGTCAGAAGTCACTTATGGCAGAGAGAGCTGGCCCTGGTAGGTACCTCGTCAGCGCTGTCTCCCTGAGGGGTCGTCTCATCCCCAGGCTTGGGTGATCCCAGGTCGAAGCTCTTCCGCCCATCGCGTACTTTTTTCTGCTTTTTGATGTTTCCATCAGCTTTTCCACTGTTGAGCCGCCTCACAGGGCTGGTTAGCCACTTTTTAAGGGTGTTGGTGGACCGCTTGGGACCAGGGGAACTGTGGATGGAGTTCAGGGAGTGCTGAGACTGAAGGTTGGCCACAGACTCGGACTTGCCTCCATTTTCACCGGAGGAATGAGAGTATGAATCTGAGGAGAAAGAACAGACGGGAACATCATGTCAGAAGCAGTTAAACAGGCGTTTGTACTGCTGGCTAAGGTAGCTTCATCCTCAGGAAGCTAGGTTATAGGTCAAGGCCAGCTGTGGACCAGGCAAGAGGCAGCAGTAACATTTGACACCGACTCAAACGTTCACATGTGAGATGTCATTCCAGGTTTTATGGAAAGAGGACACACAGGAGGCAAAGGCTCCTGCTTCCGTGGAGGTTATGTTCTGGTGGGAAATATAATAGACCATGACAACAACAAAATAAGTAAAACGTAGTAAAGTATCATAGATAATGAGAACAGCTATACTAAAAAAATAATAAGGTTGGGAAGTGCAGTAGGGAATAGAGGGTGCAAATTAACGGTAGCTCAGGCAAGGTCACATGACTTGACCTCTGAACATAGTCCTAATGGTGGGGAGACACAAGCCACGTGGCCTTTTGACAGAGGGCGACCCACACAAGCAGAAGATGAGCAAATACAGATGTTCCAAGGCAGGATGTGGAGCATGCAAGGGTGGTATCTGTGCAGGGAGAAGGGGAACAGTGTTAAGAGTGGAGGGCAGTGCAGCAAATGGCGTGGACCACGAGGACTCCTGTCTTATTTTATTATTAATACTATAATCATTAATAGTGACATTATTATTATGTCTTTGGTTTTTACCTCAGGGGAATTCTTGGGAGATAGAAACCATTTGCCATACTTACTAAAATGTTTTGATTTCTAATTGAGGACAGCAGAAATAGATTGTCTAGGAGGCCACCATATTCCTTTCAGCTGGGGGACTTTAGTAGCTTGGAGGATGGTACCAGTGGCCGTCAGTAAGGATCAGATTCTGGATATGTTTTGACAGTAGAACAGGCAGAGCTTCCTGACTGTGTATGCAAGATAACTTGGTTTTTCCCAGAACAACTGTTAGGATAAAGTTTCTGAGGTGGGGCAGAGTATGGGAAGGGTGGCTTTGAGGATAGATGGAGGGGAGGTCAGTTGTGGCCATCTCTGAGATGTATTTAGACAGAAACTAGCAGACAAGCTGACTACCTGCTGGACTTCAAGTCTGGAGCTCGGGGTAGAAAGTTCTGGTAAATGACTGAGGGTTGTCAGTGAAGAGACAGTGCTGGAAGCCAAGAGTAAAAACACCAACGGGAATGAGCATGAGGAAGGGAGAAGCCTAGAGACTAAGCAAGAAGCAGGAGGATGAGGAGACAAGGGAAATGTCAGAGAGGTTGGGGGGATCGAGACTAGTAGTTGGCCTGGAGGCCGCATGTGGAAAGTGCTTGTACGTAGGAAGGAGATGTCAGCTGTGTCAAACGCTCCTTGATAGGTCAAGGGCACTGACCAAAGAATTAAGCCTTAAACTTAGTTACACAGACGTCACTGGTGACTTTGCAAAAAAGCAGCTGTAGTGTGAAGGAGGGGCATGCCTGATTACACAGAGTGGCAGAGAATGGGAGAGAGGAAGGCGACAGAGTGCACAGAGAATTTTTGTTTTGTTTTAAAGGGACAATGATTGGACATCAAGAGAGTTTGTTTTGTTTTGTTTTGTTTTGTTTTAAATAGGAGAAATCAGCATATTGTCTGTAAGTCGCCATGCTATTTGTTTGACTACCTCAGTGCTTTAATGAACTTGCAATAGCCTAGGCATTTTACATGGACCATCTTATTTCATTCTTTGACAACATCATGGGCTCTTGGGGATGTGGGGGCGGAATCTTATCATCTTCATTTTAGGAAAGAGGAAACTGCCTATTCAGAGACATCAATCAATTTTCCCAAGGACATACAGCTCCTAGGGACAGGGTAAGCCATTCAGCCAGATTGAGCAATAAATTCTGCTACTGGTCCTTCGCGCCTTTCCATGCCCAGTACATCAGTTTCCACTGACTACAGGCAGAGCAAACCCAGGGAAGCCACACCACTGCGGTGGGACAGCTAGAGAAAGCACAGCTCAGCAGAAGCTGTAAGACAATCCTTACTCAGTTCCTCCAGTTCCTGATGTCTGAATACCTGCTAATCTTCGAGGAGACCAGCATTAGATGTGCAGAGATTCGCCTATAAAATATCTTGGACCAATCCAAAGACAAGATTTTAAGGTCCACTTCAGTTATCCTTATAGCTCCTACTGCTCAGTGATGCTGCTTTTTTGTTGCTTTGTTTGTTTGTTTTCAAGTCAGGGTTTTCTCTCTGTAATAGTCCTGGCTGTCCTGGAACTCATTCTGTAAACCAGGATGACCACATACTCACAGAGATCCACCTGTCTCTGCCTCCTGGTACCGGGTGCACCATCACCACCTGTGATGCTGTTTTTCGTTCTATTGGTGTTGAGAAAACCAGGGTCCTTAGACTTCTACATGTTGCACAGCATCACTGGCATATTTGCCCTCAAGCCAAGTACTAAGCAAGAATTACTAACCAGTAACAGTGACACGGCAAATTAACAAACAGTGATTCCAAAATTATAAGACACGCTCTGCATTTTCACTGACCTCTTGTCTAGCCAAACACACACACTCACATGCACAGCAGCAGAGAGAAGTGGGGAGAGAGAAAAAGAGAATACAACAGCAAGGCAGAGTATGGAAGATAAAGATATTTTCACAAAGCAGTGTGTGATTAATCGCCAGCAGGCTAGTATGGGCAGACTTGCCTGATAAGTGAGCACAGTTCAGACAGGGGTCAGAGCTGTGTAGGAGGACTGGCCTGGAAAGGTTTAAGGGGAGAGATGTTTGGGAGTGGGTGTTCCCATAAGGTAGGATAATAAGAACAGATACACAGCCAGGAAAATGGTAAATACGCTAGCCAGTCCAAAGCAGGTCCTTGGGAGGGAATAAGATCAGTGGAGGAGAAACTGGGTAGGTGGAAACATTTGTGAGGACAGTAGATAATAAATTCAAATATGAACTTTATTATGAGATTCTGGTGGGAAATGACATGACAAGAAGAAGATAGTTTTGTTTTTCAAATTCATCTGGCCAGTCTATACAGCAATCTTAGTAAGAAGGGATTGGAATCCAGATCGTCCCATGAGGACCATGTGCCCAGGCTGGGGAATATGACACTGTTAGTGTTTGGGAGACAAATTAAAGGTGAGTGTGTCATGAATGCTCATCTCTGCCATGGTCCTGAGACAGCTGATCTCTAACCCGGTCCCATAGCTGCCAGTTTGCATACTGGTACTTAAACCAAGAAAATGGCTGGATATTTAAACAGTGTTCTTGTGGCTTTTCACACCTACTCGGAAACTGAATCACATTTTCCTATGTGACTCTGCCCCAGACTTGGACAAGAGATCTCATCCGGCCTTGGAAACCTTCAAGCTTAGATGAAGTCAACAGAGCAGAAAAGAAAACTCTGAAAATGAAGTTAGCAAATGCATTTGCCAATAGAGAGCTGTTCCTGGCATCCCTGGCATCTCCCAGGGTCTGAGACCCTGAGCTCCATGCTGGAGCTCGCTGAGTCTTGGCCTTGCTGGGGCCTTTCTCAGGGACTGTTAGGGATGTGTGCATATTTTGGAAAGCAACAGCAGACTACATGTGTTTAGAAGCACAAACATGGAGCCCCTAAAACTGTCTGGTACAAAGGAGAACCTATGGGGCTGCTCTGCTCTGGGAACATCTGGGGATTCACTGGTACCCCTTTAAGGACAAAGGTGTAATCTTATCTCAGAAAATTCCTCACTGGCCATGGTCTGGTGTGTGTTGACATTATTTCTCAAGTGTTTGGTATGGGTGATAAGCATCTGCAGTAGCAGTGATAGAAACAGGACCTCTCTGTAGATAAGTGGCAGACTCTCCTCATTCACTAGGCCCCAGGCATGCGACTGAACTCCCTGTTTTCAGAACCTAGATCTACAGCATATGCCATGTCAACAAAGCAAAAGCCTCAACCACATTAACTTCTTTCTCTTTAGTTATCCAGCCAAGCAGACCATGGTCCAGGGCAAATCATGGCCTGGCTTTGATATTTACAAATGTGCATTAGGAATGACCATTCCTCTTCCCCTGCTACTATTGGTTTCTGCTTTTTAAAATTTTTGTATAAAGTAATGGCAAGAGTAAAGAAAATGAAAAATTCTAGAATATTCTCAATGTTGTTTCAAGTTTGTTCTAGGTAAACAAACTTTTACCTAAAGCAATGGGAATCCAAGTTGGAAGTGATTTTTTGATTCATAATCTAGCAAACGCCCTATCATAAGACAGAGCCATTTTCAAATCACTTTTTTGGGGGGAGGGAGATGGAGTGGAGGAGACAGGGTCTTTCTACAAAGCCCTGGCTATCCTGGAACTCGCTATATAGAACTCACAGAGATCTGCCTGCTTCTGCCTCTGGAGTGCTGGGATTAAAGGTGAGCATCATCTTGCTTGGCCTAAGTCACTTTAAATGTCTGCTTATAAAAGATGTGAAATCATTTGGACAAGAAATAGCTGCCAAGATAACTGCCTCTTCATGGTTATTGTGTCAGCGCCATCTCTGTAAAACAGCTGCAATGAGCGAAATGTGTTCCCAATAGAACAGTTCCTCGTGGCTGATTTGCATCAACTACAACAGTAACACTGTTTCTCACCCAGTCATCAGAGTTGAGGTAGGTAACACACATTATGATCTCCCATGTTAGGAAATAGAAAACGAGAGTGCCTCAGCAAACCAAGGGTTGTAGTCAGTTTGCAGAAGCAACATGCAAGCCCAGACTTTGCATTTGCATTTCATACCTTTATTCTTATTTCTCTCTGTATGTTCATCCCACATATTCTTTTAGCTGTGAATAGGGAGTGACTATCCAGTTGCCAGTCCATTTGGCATTTTAAATATATACATATATTGCATAAATGATACATTTTCAGTGTTGAAAGCCACGGTCACACACTAGTAATAAAACTGGGACCAGAACCAGGCATCTGCTTGTCCACTCAGGGCCTTGGATCCACGCATGCTCTTTACTCTGAGGTCTGGAACTGGCCCGAGGACTGGTGTCAAGTGAGTGGGAAGACACGGAACTGTGGACACAATAGTAAATGAGACTCCCTGATCTGCTATCTGCAACTTGTTTGCAAGTATAAAAATAACTCATTTCCTGAGGCAAATTTTACTATGAAATATTTTTAAATAAAGAAATATTCTTTAAATAAAGAAAATACAGAAAAATGTACATTTATTTACTTTATCATCTAGTTATGATAAGGGTACATATTTTGTCATATTTGCTTCAGCTGTTTTTTAAAAATGAAATGTTTCAGATTTAGCTGAAGATGACTATTTTCGCAGGGTCACACCCTTCTTCCCCATCCCAGAGTAAAAAAGTCAATTCTGAGGTTGGTATGCCTCATTCACATCCATGATGTTTATATATGCAAATGTGATCTTGTTTGCATTTTATATAATCACAATATAGACATTATTTTACAACTTGCCAATCTCCCTAGTTCAGCGAATGAAGCTTTAACATGGGCCATTCCCTAGCGATGACAAGTTCCTCCTTCTCTGTGTGGTCTCTCAGCACAGGCACTTCTAATGAACCGAGGGCAGGCCAGGGGCTCAGATCTGTTAGATTAAACCTGCCCGTGTTGTCAGTGTCCCCCTGGGGCCAGGATTCTGTCATTCCAGGTGTTTTAGTCAATGTGTAGCATGAGTCCCGCAGCTCAGAAGCTCCCCTGAAGATGAAAGCTGGGAAAAGCCAGGACAGCTTAACCACGGCAGGCATCCTAACAGTCCTGTCTAGGTGTCTTTTCCTACATTAAGCAAAACAGAAGATACTGAAAAGTATGTGGGTGGTAGCAGAATATGGGAGAAATTTGCTACATCTAATACAGCTCATTTTTAAATTCAGCCTTCCATTGGCCAAGCTCCTGTTCATACTTCTTTTACTTTTATGTTATAGCTGAAGAAAAGTCCTGTCTTCATTGGCCTACTGTGAAGGTTGTAGGCTTCTGAAGGCAGCTATACTGTGCTAGGCATCAGAGCATGCTCACTCCAGATCACAAGTATCTCAGGGATGTAGCCACAGGACTGCCAGCTCTGACTTTCTAAGCACAAAACATTAATGTGGTCTCATTTCAGTTTCCCTTGATGGCGGGTAAAGGACTACCCCTTCTCGACAGAAAGAGAAAACAGTTCTACTAGTTGTGGGTTTAGCGACCCTAAGGACCAAAACAGTGTATTGAAAGGGCTAGGCTGAAACCCAGGGAACATGTGAGTGGAAAAGTCAAACTCTGATTCTCTGTTCCCAACATGTGTCTCACAGCAGACATGTGGTTGTTTCTTACACACCAAGCCAGCAATGGGTCCTGCAGAGGAACCAGTAAGGCGTCCCAATTCAAGTCGATTCGGGCGCTGTTAGCCTCAGAGAAGGCATTAGATTGATGATGGCTCAGCCCCGGGTTCTGCTTTCCACTAAAACTCAGACGCCCATCACAAGCCCCAGGTTGTTTTACCTATGCTTGTATTAACTGACCACAGACTGAGTTTCCCATAGCCTCCTTTTTGGGCTTCATTAATTCACTGCAGTGGCTCTCAGAAACTCAGGGAAACAATGCTTACTGGTTTATTATAAAAGATCAATCGAAAGACACAGATGAAGAGATTCTAAGGCACCAAAGTGTCACTTTCACCCCTCTTCAGATGTATTACCTTTCAGGTACCCTCTTGTATCGGGCTACCCAAAGGTTCTCTGAACTCCGCTCTCTTTCGAAGTTTTTAGGGAAGCTTCATTCCATAGACATGGCCCACTAAATTGATGACCAATGTAACCGTTAGCCCCTCTCCTCTGACCAAAAGTTGTGGGGTGAGGCTGACAATCTCAACTCTGTAATCCTGTCATGGTGTTTGGGTGACCTGAACCCACTGGCAGGCTGTCAGGCACCAGTCGCTCATTAGCTCACTAAGAATCACTCACCATTTTGGAGATTCCAATGAGTTTAGGAGTTGTATACTGGGAAACAGAATAAGGAAATGTGTATCAGAGTCTGTGTGTGTGCAAGGCGACTTCTGGAGGATTTCCTACACTGCTTTGAATGGCATCTCTCAAGGTTGGAAAACTCATTTCCAATTCATTCTTCTGCAGTCCAGTGATTGTGTTCAATCATACTAAGAGCATGTCTCCATATATTGTATAATAATGTATCATGTAATTGCTAAAACACACAAGACCTAGTTGTTTTTTTAGATAGGGTCTTGGTGTGTAGTTTTGGCCTGCCTGGAATTCACTATGTAGAACTCAAACTTACAGAGGTCCACCCGCCTCTGCCTTACAAGTGCTTGGAATTAAAGCTGTACACCACCACACTTGACTAGCTGCTCAGTACTAACCTTACGTATTTGCTCTATATCAACAGTTCTCAATCTGTGGGTTTTGACCCTTTTGGGGGGGGTCAAACAACCTTTTCACTGGGGTCACCTAAGATCATTGGAAAACAGATATTTACATTATGATTCATAATAGTAGAAAAATTACAGTTATGAAGTAGCAATGAAAATAATTTTATGGCTGGGGAGCTACACCACATGAGAAACTGTATTAAAGGGTCACAGCATTAAGAAGGTTAAGAACCACTGCTCTAGATGGTCACTGGGCCTATAAGCAGTTCCCTAGTATTTATCATACTACTACTGTATGGGAAACTTTTTTCTCCAATGGCTAAAATAGAAAACCCCAAAGATTCCTAACATTGTGACATGTTCACAGAAAGGTCCTTTAAACTCCTGAGCGCTTTTGCCTAAATTTGGCTCCAATAATACGGAAATAGTTGTAAATCTAGCCTATTGCTTTCCACGCCTTTAGCCGTAAGACCAGTTATGTCAATACATTTGCCTGCAAAAAAGTATGCACACTACTTTCTCTGTCTTTCTAGAAGTAACTTACTTAGTATTTTTCATACTGGAATGTACATCTAGAGGAGGCTATATGATGGGCAGAATAAGAGCAAAAATTCTCTGGATGATAAATGCATATATATATATATATTAGTAAGCATGGGTAACACAGACCTAAAGTCAGTATGAATATGTACTTTGTGGCCTAGGATAACGAGCTGGTCTTTTAGGGGAATGGTCATCAATGCCAAACCCCTAGTTTTGTATTCATTGGAGGGCCTGATGCTGTGTACCACCAGTTCTTGGTGTGGCTGGCTTCCTAGCCAACCATCTGGTTGGCATCATGGTGCCTAGGCTGCTCAGTGCTGGAGGATGAAGGAAGCTGTTATAGAGCCAGCAGTGGGAATTGAAGCCGAGGGAGAAACCTGGCTTAACGCTGGGCACTTGCTGCCATTGCAATTACTCCCACTGCAGCTTAGCCTGAACTTGGCAAGCTCACCGCGGCACAGGATATTCCTCCCCCTTCTCAGTCATTCTCAAGTCTCAAACACCAAAGCCCTTGGGCTAGCTTCAAGAGTCTCTTTTCCAGTGAGTTCCCTACCAGCCCCTCACTCTTGAGACCTGGCGTCTTTATTAATGTTGTATACTTAAATTCCTATACATTTCAAGCCGGCATCTGTTTTTTCTCATAGAAGTACAAAATCATGGGCCACTCTGAACCCTGAATCTTTGGTGCTGGGTTCTGCCTTAGGTCCCTTCCACTTAGTGACCCCTTCCTTTGTCCTGTGCTGCTTGCTGTTCTGGCCCACAGAATGCAGATGCAAGCCACAGAACTGATTCTGAATGCAGTGACACCTACACAGGACCCTTCTACCACCACAGCCCTTTGTAATGTCAACTCTTTATAGGACGGTCTTTGCTGACAGTCCTCACAGAAAGGAAGTGGACACCTCTGGCTCCTGGATTCGGTCCTAATCCCATGCAGATTCCCCTCAGCTACTGCTGTGTCCATCCATCTTTTTAACCTCCATCCCATGCTTTGGCTCCTTCCAAGGTGCCACCACAAGCACAAGGTACAATGATAAAGTTCCCAATTGCTTGTCTTCAGGGTCTCCTTGGCCTGAGCTTCCCTTGTATCATTTCTAAGACAGAAATGGAGAAAAGAAAGTCCTCAAGAGGTCCTGAATGCCATCCTTTCCCCAGTAAGTATGTCCTAAAACTTAAGGCTTCGTGACGTGTTCGTGTTGCTATAGAGATTCCTTTTTATTGTGACACCATCTAGCTGGCTTTGTAAGTTGAGGTCTGTCTCTACTGACCAGTGGTGGGCATTTAGAAGCTTGAGCCATCACATCGGGTAGAATCCAGTGAGAACTGTTCCGCTGCTCCCCAAGGGTAAATATTATAGATATCACTTCAACCTCTGCGCCCAACTCATTCCCCTGGACCTGGACACATACTCTGGAAAAGGAACATGCACTCCTTCCAGACTGCCTCAGGGTCTCAAGAACTGTTCAAATGAGCCAATGAATGAACATGGTGCAATGATTCTATGACAAAGAGTGCACCACATTAGCATAAAAACCAAAATACAGAGTTTTTCTTGTTTTAAAAATAACAATAACAATAGCAATAAATGGGTTCACCACATCAGTGGTTTTCAACCTCTGGGTCCTGACACCTTAGGGACACATATCAGATATTTACATTATGATTCAACAGTAGCAAAATTAGGGGTTGAAGAGGTAGCTCAGTGGTTAAGAGAACTGGCATCTTTTCCAAAGGACCCAGGTTCAATTCCCAGCACCCACAATGCAGATCATGCATATCCGTAACTCCAGTTCCAGGGCTTCTGACACCCTCACACAGACATACATGCAGGCAAAACACCAGTGAACATAAAATAATAAACAAATCTGTATTAAAAAACAGCATAATTATAGTTATGAATAACCAGAAAATAATGTTATGGTTGGGGGTCACCACAACATGAAGAACTGTATTAAAGGGTCTCAGCAATGGGAAGGTTGAGAACTGCTGCTCTAGGTAATAGCATCTTGTGTTCCTTAGAATGAATATCATGAAAGCCCTTGATAACAAAGACTGAAGGATGAAGCTCTCCAAAGCACTGCTCATCCTACTGAGTCACACAGCAGCACCTTCCCTCCCTCCTTTTTAACAGTGTGCACACAATCATGTTTAACCCTGTCATATCACATGCTACAAATGACTCCCATAGGTTGTCAAAGCTAACTCAGTCTGTCTCCTATCACAGGCTCGTCACAAAGATTTCTGCACTAGCGTCTTCCTTGAGTTGCTTCTGTCACTGCCCTCCTCCAAATCATTCAATCCACTTGGATCAACTCCATGGCAGTCTCTGGACTGGCCTCTCTGCACCCATCGGACATGCCCCTGCTACTATGGCAAAACCACCCACCTTGTTCAGTTACTGTTCCTGACCTGATCACCCAGACCCTGTCATTTCAGCTACTTGGTCAAGCTGGAGTGCTTCCTTGAGCACTGGTAACAGGAGGTTCTCACTATGGCCTTTAGGCAAGTGCTATCAGTACCAACTAGGAACTGAGCAGAGATGGAAAGTCTCAGGTCCTGTGGTAGGTCAGAAGCTATGGTGGTGGCTTGTCACGGGATTTGGTTGCATCTCAAGTTTGAAAGTCACTATTCCATATGAACACTCCTTTCTGATCTAATTGCTCAGGCCAATGTACCAACCATGCTGCGTTTCTCCTGGCTCATCTTACTCTTTAGCTGTCTGCTCATCTGAAACCGAACAATTAAACCTGGCCATTGTCCTTTTCTCTGATAGCATGTTTGTTCCATGCTAGTTTACAGTTACCTTGCTGAGGAATGCCCATGAGGACAGATGCATTTATTTCCCATCTTTGCACCCTGTGCACAAATTTTCAGTCAGTACATGGCCAGTGATGAACAGTGAAGGGCAAGAAAAGATAAATCATTGGAGTGTGGGTATTTTTAGGACCAAAGACCTCTAAGGAAAAGTCATTGTCAGTGTGGTTCCTGACTCTGAGACTTAGCGATGGAGTTATCAACCCAGACTTCTGTTTCCTGTGTTCCTTAAGATGGCCAAGGTATTGCCCTTTTAAAGACAACCTAAATAGTCACAGGTTTCTTTTCTGTGGGACTTCTCAGAACTTTTAATACGTGAGTGCGGACTCCAGAGGGAATGCAGCATTTAGCATATTACTATGAATATGTCCTTGGCTTGCATGGATCTTGGCTATCACTCCACTCAAGTCTAAGATACAAACGTGAATCAGACTCCCTAGGATGGTATCTTGATATCAGAGTTGTTGGTCAAACCCACAACCAGAGGCCTGAGTAGGAGACATATTACAGTCTATTTATTTTAAGCTGATGTGCCACTCACCAATGAAAGCCTACCCAGAAGCCAGTGGGAAGCCGGCATTAATTCAGGTGCTAATGTGCCCTTTGTAGTAACCTTGCTCAAAGTGACTCCCAGAAGCTTCTTTGCAGGAACAGGGAGGAGTTAGGAAGGGTGACTGGAAAGCTTAAGGCTGTCATTAAGTGCTGCTTAACCGAACCACGGAAATGGAAATTCTCCTAGGAAACAGAGACAAGAAGGAGAAAACTGACCTTTTGGAGGAAAAAGTAGCCGGTTGAAGGGTAACAACAGCCTCTTTCCAGTGTCCTTTTTTTGTTATCTACAGTGTATGTATGTGTGCGTGTGTGTGTGCATACATGTGTGCATACGTGTGTGTGTGTGTGTGTGTGTGTGTGTGTGTGTGTGTGTGTGTGTGTGTGTGTAAGCAGGGAAAAAGGAAATGCAAAGGTTCAGACTTTCCTGGCTTCACCTGATTGGAGATTCTTCAGTCTTTACTTCTTCCATGCTTCTTTCATGGGCCTCCTCTAGGACTCACTCCCTGGACTTGCAGAAAAGCAACTTTCTGATGCCTTTCACAGCACAGGGTTCTTTACACTCAAGTGCCCTGCGCCTGTCCCTGCCTCCTCACTCCTGGGAGCTTAGAGCCAGCGCTAAACCACACATGGCTGCCTGCCCAGCTGGGGCTGTGATTCACAAGACTGGTCCCACCAGCAGTGGCTCTTCAAAGTCTTTTACTCCGACATAATTTCAGATTTGGAGAAAAGCTGCAAGACCAATACAAAGAATCTCTATACACCCAATCCCACCTCTCTTCTGACCTCAGAATAAATTACACAGATTTCCTGTTACTTCCAAATATTTCAATGAACTTTTTACTTAGAGTGGAGCTGTTTTCTTACACAGTTATAACACACTGAACAAAGCCGAACTTTAGCATACTCTGTTCAGATGTCACCAACTGTCCTAATGTCCTTTACAGGCAGGCGAGGCTCATCACTATCTGTTTACCTTTAATGAGGACAAAATAAGTATATTGCTGTATGACCCTCACTTTGGGCCTGGCAGATGTTTCCTCATGCTTGGATTTAGGGTGTCATGTGTAAACAAAGTCTCACAAATATCACATCAGAGACACACAGTATGGATTTGACGCTTCTAGGGCTGTTAACTCAGGTCCTCTGGCTGAAGCAGTCTCTGTCACTGTGTTCTAACCCAGCAACTTAAACAGCACACTCCCGAAGCTGAGGCCTTTCGAAATCTGTGCAGTTTTGCCTTGCCTAACCTGGGGCGTCTACATGACAACTTAGCTATATATAATGTTTGAGCATAATTATGACATAAGATACTCAACTCCATTCATGAGACAGTTCCCTGATCACAAATAGGAGGGCAGAGAATTTACTGCTTCACTGAGAACAGAAGGAAAACATATAAGGAAAGTTATGATTATACTAAAAACTAGAACTAGATTTTTAAAAATTAATAACCTTTAATGAGCTTACAAAATAATGGGTTTCATGACATTTTCATATATGAATATCATACACTTGCTCTCCACACACACACACATGCAACATGCACACACACACACACACACACACACCTGCAATTAGATGTTAAAAGTTGGCAAGTTTTGCTTAAAACTACTCACATTCAAGTCTTCAGCCTCTTGGGAAAACAAAATGTGTCAAGCTGAAGTTTCCACATGTGACACACATTTCTGAAAGCTAGCCCCTGAGTTCAGGTTTACACCCAAAACATGAGCCTCTTCAGGGGATCTTGAAACTGTCACTGAAAATGATGTTGGGTTATCTGGGTAGTGGTGGTGCATACCTTTAATCCTAGTACTCAGGAGGAAGGGGCAGGCCTGGCCTACAGAATGAGTTCCAGGCAGCCTGGGCTACACAGAGAAACCCTGTTTTGAAAAACCATATGTATGTTATGTATGTATGTATGTATGTATGTATGTATGTATGTATGTATGCATGCATGCATGTATATATACACACACATACACACATGCACACATACACACACGTACTCCCACAAAATGAACTTTTGTGGGGAGGCATAAAGTTCTGGCTGGGTCAGTTAGCTACTCCTGTTATTAATAAACATGAGAAGACCCTCTGATAGAGAGCAGCCCCGGGTGTTCTTTAAGTCTCAAGCAGAAACAGATTCACTGAGAAAGCCACAGGCTGAATGATGGAAGTAGCATTGGAAGATGCTAGCAGGCAGTGGCAGTTTCCATCCTCCCAGGTTGAATTTAAATGTAAAAGGCAGAAGTGGCAAGGAAGTATGAGAGGTCAGACTGGCAAGAACCTTAGAGGCTCAAGGGCTGGCTTTGAATGTGAATAGCAATGAACCAATTGCCCAACTGTTCTAGTAAGCAATGAGCCTTGGGCACAAGGAGTGTTGAGTCACAGACACTTAATATTGGGAAGGTGCCTTCAGACTCTGGGAAGGTCACTTCCAATCATACTCAGGACTAGACACTGCCCCTTCACGTATCTACTGTCCTTGGGGCAGGTGAGACAAACTGACACCTTGCTCTGTAGCCAAGAGATAGTTCCCAAGATTTGTGAGCAGTATTTCCTAATCAGAAAAAACATCGAAGGTACCCAATGAGCTACTAGGAATTAGGGTACTTATTTACTTAGGGTAAAGGTCAAAACTTGGCTGTCTGTAAGGATCAATAGGTGAGACATGCAGAAGAAACTAGATACTAGGCAGGCAGAATAATGTGGTTTAATGGAGGACCAAAAGTCTCCTAAAGACAATCGTGTATGTGTGTGTGTGTGTGTGTGTGTGTGTGTGTGTGTGTGTGTGTGCGCGCGCGTGCGCTCACACGTGCGTGGGTTGTCAAAACAGGGTTTTTCTGTGTAGCTCTGGCTGTCCTGGAACTCGATCTGTAGACCAGGCTGGTCTGGAACTCACAGAGATCCACCTGCCTCTGCCTCCTAGAGTGCTGGGATTAAAGGTGTACACCACCACCACCCAGCATGCTAAAGATATTCTTATTGGCTCTTTCTTCCTTCCTTCCTTTCTTTCTTTCTTTCTTTCTTTCTTTCTTTCTTTCTTTCTTTCTTTCTTTCTTTCTTCCTTCCTTTCCTTTCTTCCACCCCCCCTCTTTTCAAGACAGGGTTTCTCTGCAGCTTTAGAGGCTGTCCTTGGAACTTTCTCAGTAGACCAGGCTGGCCTCGAACTCACAGAGATCCACCTGTCTCTGCCTCCCGAGTGCTGGGATTAAAGGCGTGAGCCACCACCACCCAGCTATTCCTGTATTTTTCAAAAAAGATCCCTAAACTCTGATCTGCAACGTTGATTCTTTTGCCCAACGGTGGCAAGGCCTTCTCACTAACTTCCCATGCAGTCACCTAGGTGAAGTATGTCCATTACTACAGGTGGCCCTGTAGAGGTAACATACAGCTAGACCACTCCCATAGGAGCACCTCTTTCTAGAGGCTAAGGGTTAATGTTGTCTAGGCTCTGCCCACTATAATGGCTCTTTTATTATTTGAACTCTGGGTCTACAAATAAGTAACCTTTGTGTGAAGATGTTGCATCATCATCAGCTCATTCAACAACTGCTTATTGAGTGACTCCTATGTGCCTGGTGCTGTTCTTGATCTGGGCTCTAGTAGTGTACTAGAGAAAATCCTCGATGGCATTCTAGTTGGAGTAGGGGTCTAAATGGAGTTAGATAATAAATGAGGTAGGAAATCTTCTAATCCTGGACAATATTTAGAGAGTTAAAAGGAGCAGGAGAGAACATGGATGATTTCTTCAGCATGAGAAGCTGCTGACGTCCTTCTGAGACATGATACCTAACCTAAAGACAGGGAGGAGCCAGCTATGTGAAGGGAGGATGAGGCTTCCTGCTAAGGGTCTTAGCTGCACAAAGCTCCTGAGGCAGCAATGAGTTTGGGAAGTTCAAGTCCCTTACAGGAAGTCCTTGGGCTGGCACACAGTTATTCATGAAAGGGACATGAAATGAAGTTGGACAGGGAGGCAGAGAATGGACCTAGAGTTTTGCGAGACATGGTGGGGCACCAGAAATTCATAAGTATACCAAGAAGCCAACTGTGTGGTTTAAAAGGGGTTGGTATTGGCTTAGGCAGTGAGATACGATTAGTTTTCATTGATAATCTTGAATTCTTGTATAGTCAGATACATTTCTCTTAAATTTGAATTGTTTTTCCACTAAGAATCACCTTTGCTTCTAGCAAAGGGTAAAGGAGATGGGAAGAAACGTCTTTCTAAATATGAATGAATAGGAATGGCTGGGATATGTAGCTCTCATTTCTGGACAAAAAACTCCATGATGAACTCATACATATATGGCATACATATATGCTCCTAGCCAGCTCATGTGTCAGCCTTTCTTCCTGCTATAATATAAGCTACACTGGTAGCATTAGGTGATATTGCCA